CAGGTCCAATAAGACTTGAACTGATGCTTATTTATTTATAAATATATCATTTTGTTCTTATTTTGTGTTCATTTAAGTGATGTGAGGTATGGTATGTTTTTGTGCTGTAGTGAAATAAGCACAGAACTTTATTTTTCCTTAAATGGTGTTTATTACCTCTAATTATTATAATATATATTTTGATTGGAAGCTGTATATTCTACTTTATGAATGTCAAATGTTACTTGTGTGCAAATGTTTGGAGTCAATTGATTCGAAACAGCTATTAGCCTAATTACAAAGCTTTACTTTCAATACTTTCTGGCAGATTTACGGTTATGAGACCCTGACACAGGAAGGAAAATCGACTTTTCAAATGTAATTCAAACACAGCTGTTTTGGAAGTAAGTTGACTCCAAACATTTCTAATGTACTTCTTAAAAGGCTTTTGCTTTCTGCTGCACAGTGAAAGAATGTTCTGCTATGTTTAACGCTTAAACTTGCTACCACTTGATTAATTTACTTGAGCACAGAGCTACAATGTACACCACTAGTAATTATGAAATGATAGATTTCATTATGACTATTATCAGGTTTTGTAATATAGGCTGAACTATTAGAATAAATTGACAAAATTACTAAAATGTTGTGGGTTTTTTTCATGTGTCAGAAAATCCTGAGTATGCTAATGTCCCTCTTTCCCATTCTGCTGAAAACTGCTTTCATGAAGTGTTTCAGGCCAGATCTGAACATATGATATCCTTTGCAGTTGCGTGAGAGGTATAGCATCGGGGTCACATTGAAGCAGCGCTCAGCAGAAACTGCTACGTGACGTTACAAGATGCTGTTAAATTCTGTGAAATGGAGGTTAGATAACCCTGTGTTCTGATGGAAAAGGCAGAATTACTGGAAACATATCCCACTTCCAAGAGCTCATTAATGCAAGCCAGGATTTGTGAAGTTGCATTAAGCTGATGTTATTGCTCCCTTAATGAAAGGCATTACGCAGATGGCTTTTAGAAAGGCATATCGGGATATCTAGGGTATTAGAAAGTAAAACATCCTGTATTATGTTTGATATGCAGGGTTTACAGACCCTGATGCATGTAAACTTGATATACTTCATGGTGTTACATTACATTACATTACATTGCATTTATATACGGTTTTTGAGGTATGAGGTGAGGAGGGAAAGTGCAGAGCCTGAAACTCCAAGTTCTTGGAGAGTGCGAAGGAGGATCTGATGGTTCACCGTGTTAAAAATAATGTAGCGTTCAAAGAGTTTGTATGCTAAAGTGTAGTCATTGTATAATATGTCAATTATGTCTAATATATCAGCGCAAGCGACGTAGTAAAGTATGTTTGAAAATATAATCGTATTGGAAACTAGAAAACGTGTATAAAAAGGATAACAACGTCATAGTATCAATTAGAATGTCCAAAAATATCAGGAAAAAAAATCACAGTAGCCTAAGTTGAAATTATTTGAAAAAAACGTCATAGTAGCCCAGCGTTTCTCAAAGTATCACAGAGATGTGATAGGTGCGTCGCGAAAAAAAAAAAAAGGATTTTTTTTCACACTAGTGGAATATCAAAACAACCCGCCAGGTGGGGGAAACGTATCAATGAAAGCGACCCTCTACCACACAAAACAACACCTGTAGATAACCCAATTTGTGTTCTTTGAAATTGAAAAGGATATTGCATTGTGTTTGTTACTTTCGTTGCAGTTGTATGTCTTAAGTGTAATTTGGCATGCTTTTATTTTGAAGGCGAGTTTACGCTGTTGACATTTGTTGTTGCTATGGAAACAAGAAACGTTTCACAGCGGGCGGAACTTGTCATAAAGTCCGCGATAATAAAGCCCACCCATTTAGAGGGAAGATATGATTGGTCAATTGTACTGTCATTTGACATTACTCTCTCGTTCAGTTACTATAGCTGGGCCCTCTGTGAATTCATAGCTGGACGTCCAATCAGCTCCTGTCTTCACAGACTCGCAGAGAGGAGCTTCTTTCATTTAACCCTTCACATTCAAACAGAAACTGAATAGGCAGATTCAAAGGATTTATTTGGAAATGTTATTTTAAATACAATTTAATAAAGTTATTTTTGGTAAAACTAATGACAAATATTACTAAAAACATATTAAAAATATATATATAAAGAAAAATATAATTTGTTTTAATGTTTTTAAATATTATTTTGTAGAATATTTTAGGCCCTCAGAGACAGGCTCGCCACTGGTAAAAATCTCTCATACACACGTGAAATGCTCTCACAGACACACACAACAGCGTTGCAGTCGGGAAGAAAAGCAATGTGGAGCGAGAGAGAGAGCAAGAGAGCAAGAGAGCAAGAGAGAGAGCACACCTTTATCTATTTAATAAAGTTGTAAAAAATAAAGTAAGAAATCATTCCAATGTGTACTATAGGACAGTAAAAAAGTTTAAAAGGGGAGGGATTAGTCAAATATGCATAAATAAAAAAGAAAGAATGCTAACTATGTAACATAAGATAAGAATAAACAAGTTTAAATGATTTGTTGTGATCATATTCTAAAGATGTTTGGATTATTGAAAAGTATACAGCTCCCTTTCATCTGAGTGTTGAGAGCTGTATCCATAAATTCATGTTGGGCTGAAAGTAGGGCTGCTCGATTATGGCAAAAATCATAATCTCGATTATTTGGGTCAATAATTGATATCACGATTATTAAAAACGATTAACCATTTACTTTGAAAAACATCAATTTATTGAAGAAAATAATTTGAAAAGTATGTTTTTAACAGTTGATTACCCTGAACTTTAAGTATAATTCAACTGAAAAACCTATTTAAAAAAAAATAAAATCGTTTTATTTCGATTATGTTGTTTTCATAATCGTTGCAAGCCAAAATCGTAATTGCGATTAAAATACGATTAATTGAGCAGCCCTAGCTCAAAGTGCACCAGATTGATGCATTTAACTTCAACATTTAAAAAAAATCTTCCTGGGGGTGCATGCCCCCGGACCCAGAGGATGTGACGTCCACCACCAAATAAAGCAGGTTAAAATAATTAAATTGCATACATTTTATTTTAGTAAACACTGAAAACGGGTCCCACAGACCCAAACAGCACACAAAGGTTAAAGGTAGCATATAATAATGTTAAAATGTGCTAAATATATACACTGCAAAAAAACAAAAAAGAGGAGTAAAAGTAGCTCACGACTTGTTTTATTTTTTGAAAGTAGCCCTCGTCCTAAAAAAGGTTGGAGACCCCTGTTATAGAACGATACATTTGACAATTTTAAGCTTGGCCTACCATTTTATTGGAGCGATGAAGAACAGGTGGGGCTTGAAAAGGCCCACCTGTTCAAAGTAGGGAATGACAGAAAAAGTTTGAGAACCACTGTAGTAGCCTATGTCGCAAAAAAGTTACATAATAGTATGTCGGAAAGATCAGAAAAATAAGGCCATACTATATTATGTCGAGAATATAAAAGAAAAAACACAGTATTTCAGAGAAAAGTGATAATATCAAAAATATAATTCATTAATTGTTTTGGTGGACTTGGTTGCTCTCTGCCCCAAGTCAATGCCATGTGTTAATGATTAAACCCATTCTATTTAGAGGTGGTGGAAGGATTTAAAAGGTATTTACTTTGAAGTAAGGATTGCTGCATATACCCTCTTTAGAGTAAACATGCTGATCATTCTTCCGAGCCATACTGTTCCACCAGGGGCCGTTAGAATCTAAAGATTAGTGCAGGCTTTATTCTGCATGTCATGGATTATTAATATTCCACAGCGTGTACATTACATTAAAAGGATGTTTGTGTAGTGTGCATGAATCATAAAATGGATCAGGGCATTAGGGCATGAATACATTTGCAATGCAGTATGTCTTAGAGTGCTTGTATGCATTAGTACACACAGGCAGGCATAATGGTAAAGTATAATTGTTTGTGTGTATAGGATTCTAAGTTGGCAGAGTAGGATTTGTTATCCTGGCTTTTAGAGAGGTGACCGGTTGAAACGTTATCATCCTTGTTCTGGTACAGGGGATCAGAAGAAACATCCGGATCGGGACAAAATGAGGCGAGGACACAGAGCTGCAGGGGAGACTGCCAAGAAAAAGGAAGGAGGAAGCTTTTAGGGAGGTAAGGACGAAAGGAAAAAGGTGTAAAGGATGCCAGAAGTGGTAATATGTTAAAATGCAACTGTCAAAACCTATATACACAGGGTCTGACTGTTTAATTCATCCCTTGCATTGAGTAATGCTTTTTTTTTTTTTTTTTTTTAAAGAGCACGTATATGCATTTATCTACACACAGATACTAAGACTCTACTCTTTTAGTGTAGACAGAACTTGAGGTTTCTTGCAGTTTGTAAGCATAGGGAAGAACATATCTTTGTTAGATATTTGTTATTAGAGAATAGCTAAATTAGATAGTTTGATAGTATTAAGTTGGTAAGACCTTGAGGTCTCAAAGACTAGTGGAACATTTTGCACAATCCAGCCTTTCAAGTGCGTATGCGTATGCACTTTACTAGGAAGAGGTTTTATATGCGTCCACACTCGCTGAATAATTTAGGTTATTTGAGCATTCAGCACTCTGTACCTCTGGGTCTGAAGCAGTGCTCTGGCTTTGAGTCAGTCATAATACTCAAGTCCACTTTACTCATTCCACATACAGAAGATATTATTTTAGAGACTGTATGGCACTTCATTTATCATGTTTTGTGTGTATTTACAAATACACTGACTTAACTTAGTATTGTTTATATTTGACAGTTACTAGTTATAGTCGGACCCTAATGTACGACTATAACAGTGTCACATTTATCTGATAACACAGCTTTCTTGTGATGTTTTGTATTAGTTTGCTAAGACACAATCCTATCTGAACACTGATAATGCAACCGTGTCTACTCCCTTTTTTCCTCTCTCTGACAGCCGTTTAGTTAACCAATAAAGAGACAAGACACATAACATTAAATAAGAGGATATCAAATAACCAGCAGGGAGTATCATTATGTGTAACAATCCTTTTATAGAGGACAACATATAAGAAAACAGGTTATATATATACTGTACATCATTACATGTTCATACAAGTATGTACAACAATTTGTGTTAGTGAAATGTGTTACATGTGTGTATGTGTTACTACTATAAAAAGTGAAGCAGTTAAAACTCTCCGTTCTCCCCCAGAGCTCCTGTGTGTGTACAGTAAGTGAAAGTGTGCGAGTGTGTATCCTCTGATGCACACGTGTTCACCGAACAAATTACTGCAGCGGGGTGCTGTTACTAACAAGCTCTCTTTAAAAGTCATTTCCTGGTGGAACACAGAGTCTTTTCTTTTTTACAACACACTGTCGTTATTCCAGGTTCTCCAGAGACAGATGCCTGGAGCCAGGAGAAACTGGATCTCTCACTCTGAGCTGTGCCCAGAGTCAAGATGGCTGGGCTAGAGTTTCAGATCTCTGCCCAGACGCCTGCCGTTTGGCCGCAGACTGAAAGGCACAGAGTCCCTTAGAGTCCCAGGGCAGGCTGCAACAGACACTGGGCAGGTTTCAACCTCCAATCAAAGTCTCACTATACTGCGAGTTAAAAGACTTAAAAGTTTCCGTTTAGAACAAAAAGCAGCTACATCTTTATTTACAGCAGCTGGCAGGGTACACACTTACAGCCCTGCCAACTCTTCAGAAGATATCTCCTCTCTGAGTTTAAAGTGCCTTAAAGGGGGTTTCTCCCGGCAGGTACGTTTTTCTTCTAGTAACAAATCCTAGATCAGTATAGACAGCTTAAACATCTGCATTACATTGTTTGAAAACGATTTAAAACGGACATTTAAAGGCAGTTTCTACCCAAGCCAAATATGAATTTGTACCTGTTAATGGTTTTTCTGCAATTTAAAAAGGCAAGGACAGACCAAAAGTGGGATAATATTGACCTTGGAATAAGTGTCATAGGGCTCTGAAGCCCTTAGTTCCCTTATTGGTTTCCAGAATGAGTAAATGTTAAAAAGAAATCCCTAAAACAGAGCCATTTATATCCTCGGGTATCTCTTGGCTAGTGTATCTGCATGTGGAAATATTCTCAGTTTAGTCAAAACCTCTAGTTTGAGTTAAATCCAGGAAAATAAAAGCGTCCTCTCCTGTAGATTCCATCCACTGTGTGATGATGTTAAGTTCCCAGTAAGCATCCCATGCTGGTTCAGTTCCTCCGTCATGTTTCCATACAGTTCTCTCACACTTCCACGTCCCTTCAGTCTGTTAGTTTGTGTACATAGTTGACAGGAAAGGTCCCTGCCCTGGATGGGTCCCCCTCTATGTGGCCAACCTGTTAGGACAGAAATAGGTTACTTAATTAATCCCAGCAGGAAATTAGAAGCTAAATATACAATACATATAAAAAATACTTATTTATAATAACTTAAATAAGTAGGGGAGGTTTTTCTGTACATACAATATGTGTCAAGACATGCACAATGCAAGTGGTGCCGATTTGATTCTGATAATAAAAACCGAGTCAAGTCATATTTACGAAGTGAGCCCATGTGAAAAGTCCATCTTATATATTTAACTTCCTGTTGAATCCTTCACACTGCTGCCCAGAGGAGAAAATGAAATCCAAAAGTTGTAGTTACACTTACCCACCAGTGGGGGTCATTAGTGGCTGTGACCACAATGATCTCATCTTTGAAAAAGGCGAGTTGCTCCGAGCTGACGGCCCTGCAGTCCACGAGAGCCTTGACACGCTTCTGAGGTGGCCTGCTGCCAGAAACCTGTAGGAGACATGTCAGATAGTTTCTAGTGTGCTAATAGTACATTTATATTAACTGTGAAATGTTACAGGCCTTTTCTGATTCTCCACAGAAAAAGGTTGCAATATGGAGGACTTCTAAAGGCAATCGAAAGATGTTCCTGTGTGACTGTACCATAGCGTTACTGCGGGATCGGGGGACACAGGTCAAGGTGGGTGAGGCCTGTGGAGCAGGAGCTGGGGTGAGGCTGGAGTTACTCCCCACTAAGCTGCAGTACAGCTCCTCTGTGCTGCCCACACAGCTGGGAGACATCACACTACACTTCCCCTGGCTGCCCGCTCCACTGCTGATCCGACGGTACGATGTGGTCTTCTCTGAACTGGAGGGGGAGGAGTCATAGCATATGTCAAATCAAACAAGGCCTCTGTCATATAGAGTTGTTTCCAACAGTCCAAAATAGGCACAGCTGTATCATTGTTTTCATCTTTGAGGTATAAAAGATAACTTGAATCGTATTTTTCAGAGACCCTTTTAAACATAATCTGTTGACCAATCATAGCAGTGCTTTCTCACCTGACAGGCCCTATGCGACCCTGCGAGGATGTAGGTGTGATGCTGACTTGAGCACCAGCACCAGGTGGGCCCCCCCTGAGCACCACTGCCTGTCCGTTGTGAGGCCTGGGTGCCCTCGCCCCCTGGCCCTGGTTCTCTGTTTTCGGAGAAGGAGGACTGTGTCTAGCCTGTGCCTGAGGACTGGAGGATTTGGAGGGCGGGTTAGAGCACCGTCGTGGAAGGGGGTTACCTTCCTGTGTTGTGACCGAAATCTGGGGGTCAGAGCGACCTGTGGAGTGGAAGAACAATGTAAAATAAATATTATTATTATTGTTAATGTAAAATAAGATCAATACGAACAAAAATGACCTTTAATAAACTCTGTATGTGTTATTTGAGCTGGCATCATCTTTCATGTAAGCAGGCACTGATGCAATCATAGAAACAGGTTGAACAAACCATTATTTATTTTGGCAGTATTTGCACCTGCTTAAATCGTATCGTAAATGTAATGTAAGTGAATGCAACCTTATTTAACTCTATAATTTAATAAATCAAAACCAGGAACGGTTTGGATGTTGTTTTTAAAGCAGATAAGCAACATTTACACCACAGCAGTAGCTCACCTCTCTGAATGGATTTAACAGGCAGTGGGGGCGCTGGTCGTGCAGAGGGGGCGCTGTTGGCTGGAGGACTTTTGTATAAGAAGTCTAGATTCTCATATGTCTGACAGGGCCTAATCCCAGCGTTACCGTTGGCACCGTTCACACTCCAGCGGGCAAAAGCAGATCCACTGCCTCCAGTTGAGGGCGCAGGGGAGCGGTTTTTGGGTAATGGGCTCACCTGGAAAAAAGTAGAAGGTTCATTTTTAGTTTCCACTCAACTGTAAAAAAAGGAAATGTGTATATAGCCTTTCCTTGCTAGTGGAGGATATTTCTATGGAAAAGGTCCGAAAAAAGGCTTTTTTGGCAGAGAGACAGAGTCAGTAATGTGTGTGTGTGTGTGTGTGTGTGTGTGTGTGTGTGTGTGTGTGTGTGTGTGTGTGTGTGTGTGTGTGTGTGTGTGTGTGTGTGTGTGTGTGTGTGTGTGTGTGTGTGTGTGTGTGTGTGTTTTATACCCTGTCATCCAGGTCATCCTCGCTGTCATAAAACTCCTGGGACTGCGTCTCCCACATGAACTCCACGTGGATCTGAGAGTTGAATTTCCCACTCTGTGCCAGCTCCAACTAAAACACACACAAACACAGATGTAGGGGTATTTCATAATTCTATATTAGCAGTGGGATATTTGGAGAGCAACACAAAGGAAGAAGACTTAAAGCACAGGATTATAAACATGTCATACAGTGTTGCACACATCCTTAAGCAATATTGGGAACATCTATCAACAGAAAACTCCCTCCTGACCATCATCAGTGTGACCTTGGGTTAAGCAGATGTTTAAAAAAATCAACAACAATTTCGAAAGAGCAAACCGGTTTTTAATGAAATGACAAAAAAAGGTCTCTTGAATCCAGAGCAAACTATAGCTTCCAGATATATAAAAAGAAAGAAAATCTCATAATTTTTTTATTAATTTAGCGAATGAGTAAACCGGGGGAATTTTAAAGCTGCTTACGTGTCAACCCATAACCCTAACCATAACAAGGCTGTATACGAAGGTTGTGTATAATCAAACAGGATATTACAACGCAGGTCTGATTCAGCAGGGCAGATGGCCGGTAAGAAAATAAAACCAGTTTATAAATGATACACACTGGGACCTGATGAGGATGAGATTCCCTATCCTGGGAGTGAGTCCTTAGCAGAGCTGTGCTGCATGGGGAGTTATTTCAAGGTAGTATTTCCAGCTGTTGAAATAGTCTTGTTTTGTTTCTGGAGTTGGCTTTCTGGTAGGCATTTTAATGTTGCAACTTGATTCCTCAGTTGAGTGCACCTTCCGACTGTGTGCGTTCTTGGAATATAAAACTGTATAAAAAAAAAGAAAGTAGGTTCTCACCAGCTCCACACACTGCCCGTGCTGCAGCCTCCGTGCTAAATCAAGGGCCGTCTCTCCGGCAGTGTTCACTATGGGAGGTTTAAAAATAAATACATTGTTTACGTTTTTATTGATTTGACTGGGTGAAAGATAAACAGAGTAACCAGAGTTAAGGTTACCTGTTTGTAGCGCTGCCTTTGCTTTGAGCAGTAACTTGAGAGACTCCGGCTTGTGATGCAGAACGCTGTAGTGAAGAGCCGTGTTTCCTTCTGCTGTTCTCTTCTCCAGACAGTTGCTGTAGAGTGAACATACAGTATTGAGAAATGGCCAACTGTCAAACAATACTGATGAAGAGCTTAATCCACTTAATGCAAAGTAGATAGGATACTGTCAGTGTCTGACCTGTTCTGGCAGAGGAAGTCCACCAGCCCCAGAGAGCTCCTTTCCTCCAGACGCACAGCAAGATGGAGAGCTGTCTCTTTGATCCCCTTAAACAGGAAGAAAAGAGCACATAGGAGGCCAAATGAGTGACCCTTGAAAGAGGTTAAATCTATCAAAACTGTTTCGCCAGGTTCACTGTCAGTCATGGCCTCAAGTGGCTGCTTTTTGTTTTTGACAATCAAGGCTTTAGTTATGCATACCAGAGAAGCTAATGTCAGAGGTTGAAGCTGAAACAATTAATTTGTGTCTGTGTGCTTGAAAAGTAAAAGCGTGCCTACAGCTTTAAGCATTATCTGTTTATGTGAAGTGCGAAAGGAGGGGCAGAAGAAAGACATGGAAGTGCCTGCGTAATTCAATGAGCTGGTCTCACTTGTTCTCAAGAGACGTGAGCTATGACCTAAAAGCTGAAATAATAAACGAGGGCCGTCCAACACAAACAAACACACACAGTTAGTCAGCAGTGTTACACTGACTCCTTATGGTGAGCAGGAAGTGTATGACAGGCAGGGTAGAATATGATTTAAGACAAGAAGACGAGGTGTCGAGCAAAGACAGTCGAGGCGGGAAAACAAGATGAATGGATGCTAAGAGGAAAGGGGAGGAAAGATTGAATTAGAGACTAAAAAGAGAGGGGAGGGCCTCGGATTTATCCACCCACGTGAACCATGCACACAACTGGACAATTAACACATACTTCACATACTGCAACTATCCCCACACACCCATTTAAGAGGGTTTGAGAGGATTTAAGTCTATTTTAAGCTATAGGCTAAAGCAACATGTTAGTGACTTTTTGAAAACATTGCAAAATGTATGTGTAGCTATGTAACACGTGGGGTGGGGTGCCTTGTCGGGATGCAGCTGTCATTCATCCTAAATGCATGACATCTGTGGGAGTTTGTCAGAAGATGATGTGAATTTATCACGCCCATTTCGACCCCTTCAGGACATGAAAAACGCTAGTGTGGGAATCGACGTGTGGCTGTAAATGATCCTCACCTGTCCGTCAGACAGTGTGAGGGGTTTGGAGAGGTCCCCTCCCTCAGCGTAGAGCTGGAGAAGAGAGGTGAGGTCTCGGCTCCTCACAGCGTCGTACAGCCGGCCGGGGTCGGACTCTTCTCTGCACAGGACATACCGGCGCTCAGCGTACTTCGCCACAATGTACTCCTTTCTGGCATTCCTGGTCAATCAGAATCAGAATAAGAATCAGAATCGGTTTGATTACCAAGTAGGTTAACATATGGGAGGAATTTGCATTGGTTTAAATGGTGCATACAGAATACGTTTTTTTAAATGTTTCTATTATTAAAGTTGTTTATTTTGTGTAAAAAAAAACGTCAATCGCCAAATTCTTGTGTACTCCTTTTGAACACTCATATTGTTAGTTTGAAAGAAAACAGGGACTCACATGTCACTTTGTGGCAACGGTTTGACGGAGTCATTTGGAAGGCCCGCCTCCATGATATCGTTGAATCTGGTGTTGCCAATACTGACGGCCAACTGAAGAGACACACAAAGCAGCCACAAAGATGTGACATTAAATGAAAGGCAGATTGTTAGATAATGTCCGTAATTAGGAAAGCCTGACAAAATTCATGTGGACTGTGTCTGTTATTGTGGGAATCGTGTGTTTCCATGTGTGGATTTCGTACAAGAAGCTCAGAGGTGCTCAGCAGGTCCAGAGTGAGAGACTGGATCCTAGAGTAATGGACTCCCAGCTCTCTGTGGATGCCTGAGCACTCGATACAGGTCAGGATGCCCAAATTGGTCGACAGCCATGTTGGATCTGAGACATACACATAGCAGAATAAATCAGTTAGAAACCTAATCACCGCTCCACAAACACAGCTTGAATTGATAAATGTTCTTTCTGAATATTGTCAAGCTCATACAAAATAAATTAAACCGGTTGTAAAACATTATCAGTGTTTCATTCATTCTGCACAAATCATTAAATCAACGAGTGGCCGACCATGTGCTCCACAGTCAGCGCAGGCCTCGTTGCCAGGCATGTGTCGCAGCTCGGCGATGATGGATCTGGATAGTTCCTGGAGACCGCTGTCCTGGACGTGGAGCTGGTCTCCTACCAACGCTGTGTTCAGGGCCTCCTCCTTACTGTTCTGCAACACTGACACCCAACTAAAGCAGAGGAGCAGACATACAGAAAAAAGTTCATAAAAGAGCCTAAATGAAAACTCCCAAGTCCTTCATGGTGTCATGGCTTAATAGGAGCAAAAGTCACAGAGTTTGTGGCACCACAGCTAAACAAAAGATTGATCATTTCAGTCCTTTCCTCCAAAGATCAAACAACGTCCTGCATGTGTTTTGCATTTGTATTTGCTCACTTGTCTAGTGAAAATAAATCATCATCATGCTTACTTTCTCCATTTCATAAATACCACCCAGGCAATACTGAGCCGGACCTTGTGGCTTTGATTTCCGAACCTCCAGTACTTTTCCCTTCAACCCATCTCTAAACTCACACAGCACACCAGAGGACCTGCCTGGAGGCCCACACACAAGGGGAGGGTAAGGGACAGAAAACCCCACATCACAAAACACAAAGTTCCCTTGCTCGCAGTCTGTGGCTGGAAAGTGAAGTCCCACCCAAACGCAGCTGGGCCAAGGGGCTCCGAGAGGACACATTTTTCTATCTGCATCACTTTAGTTTCTCTCCTTTTTTGGGGTTGTCAGCTCTTTGCTGCTCTTCACCAGACACTAAAACAATCTTTATCTTGTATCATTAGGTCCCTTCTCTTCTTTCTGACTGCTATTTGACCATGCAGACCTGATCTAAAGTAGATGTGCATGATATGTAACAACCTGCTTACACAAAGAGAAAATACAAAAGGCGAAGAAGCTAATAAAGTGAGTAGCCTACAGTAGTTTCAACACTTACATCATACATTCTTGCTCGTCCTCTGTCTGGAAATGGTATGTCCTATTATCTATTGAGAAGAAGAAATGGTGTTTAGAGGTTTATGACTAGAAATGGCATAAAACAAATTGAAGGCTGGAAGATTTCTTTAATCTTCACACATACACACAACACAGCACTGTGAAATGTAGAATCTGCATTTAAACCATCCTGGTATTAGGGGCAGCTGTTAGCGTCCGGGGAGACAGGCACACAATCACCCCCTTGTCACGTCACAACAGTTTATTCACATATTCATCCCAAATAAATGTGTCTGATCCTAATTTCTATTAATGTCGGGGCCAAACAGACGCTTTCACACAGCTTGACTGACATGTTAAGGGTCAAACGTTAAGGAATGAACCTACGAGTGACCAGGTCAAAGGTCCTCCTGTCCTCTGGGTTTGGTCGCACCTGACAGGTCAGCAGGTTCAACTTGGCTGGCGGGCGGTTGATCTAAATACAAGACACAGATGCTAATGTCAGCATGTATCGGAGAAGTTGGACAGATTTCAGATGACACTCTGATCTGAATCTGACGTTCATGTGTCCTCACCGTGCTGTGGGAAATCGTCAGGCAGCCAAACTTCACTCCACACTTTCTCTTCTGCCAAACCTTCCTGATACTGCAGAGAAAAAGAAATGAGAAAACAAAAATTACATTTTATACATAAACTATTGTCATGACCTCATCCACCTGGCACATGGTAACACTTTTATCTCCTAATGCACTGCGCAGAAACCATCTGTGGTGTGCATTAAGAGATAACAGCCTTAACATGTACCCCATCAATTGTTTAATGGTGATCTACACACTTCTTGCCCCGCTCACTACTCTTCCGGTGCTTCCCTCTTGTTTTCATTATCTTGATTCAATCAGTTAAAATGGCTGAGAACGTGTTCTGTTTTCTGTCAGTGGCCTGAGGAAAACTGGCTCTCCCCCGTCTCCCATTCATCCGACTGAACCACATCCTTATCATGCTGTAATCTAGCGCTCCGTGTGTGTATATATGCGTCGACGGGTCATGTGTGCATGACGCAAAAGCTGGATCCGTTCAAAAAGTTCCACAGGAGGGGCCCCTGGTTGGATCTTCATCTCACAGTAATGAGGAACAGACGAGGGAGACAAAGTTTGAACTCCCCCTTCTCTCCTTCTCCATGGCTTACTTGCTTACTCTTCTTTCAGCTCTGATCGCTACTCCGCTTGACAGCAGTTACTTTGAAAACTTTATAATTTGTTTAAAAAACTAAACAAATAACTTTTGCTAAGTTATGAGACATATTAAACTACATGATTATTTATATCACTTTTTTGTATTTGTGTGTTTTTAATTCCTAATACGTGTTTTATAGCTGCTCATGACCTGACATTTGGACACTGTAACTGATGTCTTTACCCACCCGTCACTCTTCTTCAGCAGGAAGCCAGATTTCTCCGTCCCATATTTCTTGTTGCCCTGTGGTTGGTGGATGCTATACCCGTTGCCAGAGTTCTTCCTGTTCAGGTACTCCTGGGATACAAACAGAGATTAAGGACTTCACTCCAAAGGCTCTAAGCCAGCTTGGAAAATTCAAAACATTTGTGGCAAGAAAGTAATCCGACAGCATCAACTGGTAATTAAAGCCGTCTGCTGCTTGGCTCTTTTGAAAACACATTTTGTTTACATACCAACAGAGTCAAGGTACGTAATGTGTAATGAGTATAACAATGATGCATTATGAATAGGCATACCTCTTTCCCCTCCACTTGCAGAAGTAATCTTAGAGAATCCCTCAACTGAGTGAGTTGTTTCACCTCCTCGTCCTGATCCAGACGCACCTAAAACACCCACCAAAAAAGTAAGTATATTTAATACAGCAATAAAAATGTAATTAGTTGGAATAACCACATGATCTCCCAGGTTCATCTGATCAAACACACGTTTTTTTTCAAGAATAGGGTGTGGAAAGACAATACATCACTTTTGTGAAATGACCTAAATAATGCAGAACAGAGCTCAGTACTGGGGTGTGTCGTCCTAGGAGGCACATTCTGAATGAAAGCAACCGCACAGTGACCATTCATGCGTGCAACCAAATTCTGTTTAACTGAAATATTTTAGCATTTTTCCAAGGAGCCATAACACAGATTCTGTTATATTTCCTTCTTGAGGCTAAGGTCTGGCATGTCTGAGCGGGTCTCTGTTCTGCCTATGCAGAACCAGAAAAACCTCTAACGTTCCTTCTATTACAGCTAACTGTCTGTTTCCAGGGCTCGATCCAGCGGACGGACTGGAAACCCGTCGGAGTGGTTGGAGAAATAGGTGTGCACAAGGGAAGGAATGAAAATAAGGGATGCTTTCACTTTTATTTTTTCAAATGGGGGGGGGGGGGGGGAAGCGTTTTCTGGGAAATTACGGCAATAAGAGTTTCTGCCTCTGGGCTAAGCTTGGGGGGGGGGACGTTTCAAAGGAGGGGGGAGTGACTGAGGTTTTGGCTGTTGTAAAATAGTTTGGAGAGCAGGAGAAAAAGTGCTACAGGAGGTTCTAAAATACAAAATGATTTAGTGTAAGATAGTTTCACTTTCTTTCACACAGGTTTTACATCTTGTGACGGAAAGACGGCTGACAAACGATGAAGAAATGAGTCTGTTTGTATAAGAGGATTTAGGATATGATAACATCATTAGGTATATGAATGTGTTTTTTGCAACACAGTTTGAGTCAGTCAGGACCTTTGAACACATATCTTCTTCTGAAATCACAACAAAGCTGAATAACAAAACTTGCAGACATTAGATGGCTAATATGCATAACTTTAAACACTGAAAAAAATAAAGCCGCTGGACGGACACATCAAACAGCAGCTTCTGTGTATTTACCGTGTGAACAGAAGCAGCGAGCTTCTCGATAAAGGGGGTAAGGTTCTCTGCAGCTTTTAGCCCATCCTGAAAGAAACTGAGAACAGAAGAAGAAAAACTGCTGAGTCATGGTGGTACTTCAGTCCAAACATCATAGTTCACACCAACCAAAACATCCCATGCCTAAGCTGGATAAGCAACTCTGTTCCCACATAAAACCCCTGTATTATTAAAACGGGTAAATGGTTAATAGCAATAATAATAGCTTGTAGATGGAATGTAAAACCAAAGAACCTCAACTATTATGTAAAATCTTTCAATGAAACCCTAAGGTCCATGTTTTAAGGCCAGGGAAAGGAAAAATATATATTTCTGGTTCTTATTTTACATCTAAAATGAATGTTGGCTGGGACTGACCTGAGCTGCGCCTGGAAATACTTGATGAGGCTCTGGAGAAGATCAGGGCCCTGACGCACCTTGAGCTCCTGGATCTTCAAAAGATACTAGAGGCATAAACACAGACTGTTAAATATAGCTGCAGAAATGGCAGCTCTCCATGGAAAAGCCAGATGGATATATTAACACATGAAGCCTGAATACGAAAATGTTGCATCAAATAAATCCAAAAATGTTCAGTCCCTATAATTTAAGGCTCATCCTGCACTACCCATCCTTAATATGATGTTTTGAGCATGTTTGTTATGTGTGGCTTCTTCCTTTCGAGTACACTGCTCCATATTCTTCCAAAGGTCATCGCCTTATTTCAACACTCGACCGAAACTAGGAAAAAGTATTAAGATATATGAACAACACGGACACGTTGTGCAAGCTTGACTGTGAATTATTTCTACCCTGCACAGTTTTTGTGTGGAAGGAATAACTACAGTGTCTTCGCTCCATAAAACCCAAGCCTGTATCCATCTGGCTCTTTGTAGCTGAAGCCGAGGCAGTGTCAGTGAAGTGTTTCTGTCCTGTGTATATTTGTTTGAGCTTGTGTGTGTGTGTGTGTGTGTGTGTGTGTGTGTGGTGTGTGTGTGTGTGTGTGTGTGTGTGTGTGTGTGTGTGTGTGTGTGTGTGTGTGTGTGTGTGTGTGTGTGTGTGTGTGTGTGTGTGTGTGTGTGTGTGTGTGTGTGTGTGTGTGTGTGTGTGTGTGTGTGTGTGTGTGTGTGTGTGTGTGTGTGTGTGTGTGTGTGTGGTGTAGGGTGAAGGAGACGGAGGGACAAAGGGGTGGAGCGGTTTGCAACAAGTGGAAATACAATTTTTCACTGCCTCTCCTCTTTGCTTCAACAGCTGGTCTTGGTCAGGATTATAATTCTTTTCTCAGGGGTTTCTCCAGCTACATGTATGTTAACGCACTTAGACTACACCACCTGTATAAAACAGCACTGCCAGTGCATTTCACAAGAATTTGCCTCCAATTTGGCTTCAGGTTAGAGTTATGACGCATTTCCATCTGCCTTTGAACTGCACTTTCTACTGCGTATGACCAAGCTCTACTGCAACTGCAAGACGAAACCAATTAAGTCATGCATGACTTTCCAAGCCATCTTTTTTCCATCATAGGAATTGCTGGAGAGACACAAAAGGGATTGACACAGGCCATCCAGTCGACCATGGATGAAATATGAAATCCACAAGCAGACCACCCATGTGAACTAAATCACCATTTCAGGTTTGTGAAAGGTGCCTGGGTATTTTGACTGGCACTAATCCCTCACCTCACACATTTGCAGCTGAAAGGCTCTTCTCTCCCTCTCCATGTCCTCCCCTCCGTCTGATCCCTCTGTCCTGATCAGACCCAGCTGCCGCGTCTTCTCCTTCTCCAGCTTCCCTCTGATGGGTGGGGAAAGCATAAGGAAAAGAGCAAATGAAATAAAATCGTATCCCAAGTAATTTCACAAATCTTTCATCTTTCAAACTTTCTGTCTGTCATGATGAACTTTTGGAGCATTTTAAGTGTTTTATTTCCTTCTTACTCATAGAGACAGCAGTGAGAGGAAGATTAATGAGAGACAATAAGGAAGGGGGGATGGGGGGTGAACTTTCCTTACAACATTATGAAACACTTGAAACAATTGCCCAAATGATGGCTGCAAAGTGCAATGCCTCAGTTTTTCTCTCCGAAATGTAATGGAGAAAGGCAATAGGGAATGAACTATTATCCTATTAACCTCTGATAAAAAAAAAAAACAGCAAGAACTGTGAAACTGCAAAGTGATTCTCCTTAGGCAATAACATCCCTCTCAGGCGTAAAGGTGAGTTATTGGACACTAATCACATAATAAGCAGATATATGAGTGTTAGGTAACAAATTAGACGTATGGTTAATTACATTTTTATGTCATACTCCTTCCAACTCTTCTCCATCTGTTTCTTGAGCTCCTGCAGAAAAGAGAAGAGAAGTTTCAATTGTGTGGTTCAATACATTTAGGTAAAGCAGTATATTGCCACACTGTTTATCATCTGCGTAGCCAGACAGAGACGTGATTACTCACATTATGCTAACTAATCTGCTAACTGGCTGAACAGGATTTCAGTAGCGCGTTGCCTTCCTCACAGTTATAGTGAAGCAATGTTCAGCTGTCGAATCAGCTGTTTCAAAAACAGGGCAGTGACAGAAGCTCACAGGAGCATTAGCGTGTTATTACTCACTAGTCTGTCGGCATGGCAAATCTAAAGGAAAAATACTGAGCGAGACGGATCGGTGCAGTATTGAAACATAGCTCAGTCTTACTCATAATCTGCATAAACAGCCTCATTTTATCCAATATCTTACTAGGCTCAGCTGCGTCTGCGACACAGACAGACCTGCTTGAAGAGGAAATCCATCCTTAAACTGATAACATTGTGATATTATCTTGGAGAGTAAAGTCAACATCTACTGTATTCCTGAACTGCAACATGCCAAACATACTAATGAATTCAACATGGCTCCTCTTGTAAAGCTTGGTCCTCTAATCACTGGAGAGCAAGAACAAACCTCGATATGACTCTTCGCTCTTTGAAAACCAGACAATATATAGTTATTTTACTGAAATTCTATGATCGAATGTTATCTCCTCTAATGTAACTCAGGATATGTCTCCCTGACAGCCTCACAACAGACTGGCTATTTGCTATCGAAGTACACAATTAAACAGAACTGTAAAATGTTTAGCCAGCAGTTTTTTTATCGAATGAATTTGTAATTAAATGTAGACTCACTAGTCTGCTGTCCCGGAGTTCTGACTTCAGCACATTTTCCAAAGGAAATGCCATGATGTTGTTGAGGTTTTGTACCTGAACATGTTAAAAGAAAATCATCAAAGGAGTTAAAAAAAAAAAGCAATCCACACAATATCCCAGGTGTCCCTTATCTTATGCAGTATGAGATAAACACTCACAATGCACACATCTTCTACACACTCTTATCTCCCTATGGACCCCCATTTCTGGGAATAAGTAAGGAAAGCTCAAAAACATGGTGATTCAGTCACTTTAAACTAGTGATTCATCAAAACAAAAGACTGGATAATAATCTACACCAGTAAAATGGTTTTCATCCAAAGCATGACACAATTTATTTGATTACCGTTTTTGAAGTGAACCAAGTCTATTGGGAAACAGAGTTGGAGAATGAATCAAAGAACATCTAAAACATACCGCTAATAGGTTTTGCTTACAGTAAAACTCAATTACCACAAAGCCCCTTGGAAATACTTCACATCTTTATACTCAGACATGCAGTATGAATACATACATGATGTACAAGTCTGTAGTAACTGCAGCCTTTCCCTGGATCCTTGTGGATTTGATCTTAACATAAATAATGTCCAACCACTTCCGTGAGCTGACTGCAGAGCTGACCTTCATATATTGACACAGAGGCCGGGAAACTGGTCAGATTGTGTTGGTTGACATCCAAAAGCTGAGGTAACTAGTAGATCATACATCGAGTACTGACACGGTGGAATAACCCACTCTCAAAGTGTCAACAACACATGTGCGGATGACACAGCTCAATGCTGTTTAAACATTGGGACAAGTATGCTATCAGACACGGCATTAAAGGGACACTCTCCGCTCTTTAAATCCCCCTCCTGTGAGTCTTCTGGACCCCATTTCCTCTTAACATCTGTAAAACCCAGGCAGGTCTTTTTTTCTTAAGGAAGGTTCCTAACTAAGCGGAAGCCATGATAAGAGCTGTTAAAATTCTCTAAGAGCTAAGGAAATGAGCTTCAATGCTTCTTTCTTATCTAATTTAGTACAGGAAACGCCAACAAAAAGGAGGTAATGCTGTCCCTCAATTGTACGGGTCAGCAACATTTAAAGGGACTTAACAACTGACGTGACTGTTTTATTGTAAGCTATGCATTCATTTAAAAACATGCTTCTTTGGAGTTGTGGTTCTGTTTAAGATAGGAATCCTTACTTAAAATGTCCCTCATTGTCACTGTACTGTATGTGTTATAAATAAAGCTGCTTAAAAAAAGAAAAATGCCTACGTGTAAGTACAGTCTTAAACTCTCCTTTAAACATCTTTTATTAACCTCATGACGTTAACATTGAGTTCAAGGCAAAGTAGATTGAAAAAGACAAAGGAAGTAATTTCTTTGACTTTCCCACCTCAGCCCCAGTCTCCCCTGTGAGGCCTTGATTGACACATCGGAGGGAGCGTGTGCGACGGTGTGTGTTGACTCACATGGAGGTCTGGGATAAATTATCATCGCCATAGAAACTATCAGTGGGAGGGTTTCAGACGGCCCCAGCTTTTGGAGTCAAGAGGTGCTAGCATGCAGCTGTTGAAAACACTTTTGACTTTGCCATAGTGAACAAACACTTCAAACATCAGGGGGAGAGATATGGGGTTTCTGTCACCTGGTGTTGTTTTAAATAAACTAAATCCTTCCTTGTTCCCTCAGTATTCTAAGGTTTAGTGTGTGGTTTGAAATCTCTAGTAAAGACAGCTAATTTGAGGAAGCCTCTATTTTCACTTCCCCTTTTCCTCCACACTTCTCTCCTCTTTCCTTACCAGATTTTTGAAGAGGGCTGTGACCTCTCTGGTGAACACAGCCAGGTTGAGGAAGCCTGTGGAGACTTCGTTGTTGTCCTGGGTCAGGTGGCTATTCCCCAGATTCTCCAGCACCTCAACATACTGCTCCTTGTTCTCCACATGCGCTGCAAAACAACACGTATTCACATAAAATAAGTATTGACATAGAAAGTTAAAGGTTACTTAGACTTGAGTTGCATGTGGGGGATAATCTTAACATGATGGCAGATTGACTTGCTCTGTTGCAGTGAGAGTATTTTACCCTGACATGTGGGATAAATTAGTCCTGGTTTCCACCCATCCTGGAGCTGGAGACAAGCTAACATGAGGGCTTATAGGTCACTTTACCCAGGGTCATGACCTTAGTAAGGTCTGTTTTATTTATGTAGGAAAAGGCTGATGTGGAAAATAATCTGAGCTCTAGCCGGCACCACAAAGGTTTACATTTCACTAAAAGAGGTTTTACCCTACAGCTATTTTAATGTTAGGCTTAGACAAGGACATCAAATAAACAGACGTCACGATTCCAAGCCACATGGAAATAATCATATTTAATCAAAATACAACCAAAGTCTGTTTACTGTCATATAGTAACATTCCGGTTGACTTTAGGAAACCCCAAAATCAGATTTCTTTATAGCTGTGGATTAAAAATAACAAAAGGTATGGAGAGCATATGGCCTAGACATCTGCAGAAGTGTTGCAAGCAGACTAAACAGAATAAGTAGAAATAAGCAGAAGTAAGGAAAGTTGTCTCTTTTACTCCAGTTTCCACCCCAAGACAAATATAAAATGGTAAACTGGCTGTAGCTGGAAGACAGACAGACAGTTTTACTAACAGGCTGAAAAGGAAAGTCAAACATGTTGTGCAACAGAAAATCTGTGTATTTAAGGAAAGTAAGCACACAGAGTGAAAGATGGAAAACACAAAATCAACGGGGAGCAGGAGAACAGAGCCATTATGGCAGCATTCAAAAAGTATAACAACAACTAACATGCATGCATCTATCAAACAACAAACTGCTGAGTCACAGAGGAGATGAGAGGATGATTTCACAGCTGACCTTTAACTACCAAATACCAACAGGGCAACTCTACTCTTTCACTCCTCTGCCAGAACACACACGGACTCGTAGGCCACAGCATCTTGGCAGAAAAGTGGTACTTAGCGATTTATGGGAACAGAGATGGAAAGAAGAGATGTGTGTGTGTGTGTGTGTGTGTGTGTGTGTGTGTGTGTGTGTGTGTGTGTGTGTGTGTGTGTGTGTGTGTGTTTTTGCATGTGGGACAGAGAAACGGACCATCGGCGCAGTGAGGGGGAGGAGTGGGCGTACGACTGGGTCTGAATGCGTGGTGAGTCAGACCTTCGATTAACATCAGGACTGATTAAGGGGTTCAACAACATAATGAAGGGGAGGGGAAGGGGGGGGGGGCTTCCATGGTCATATTACTGGAACTAACCCATATGATTCTAATTAGAAATAAAAAGTGAATACACATGGAGTAAACATGGATAACTTCTCTGCAGCCACAGTGTTGCTGCTTTCTGGTTGCCTAATTCTGGGCAGCGCTCTGACTCACATTTACTAAAAACTATGAGTTGAAACCTCAAAATGGGAAGCAGACTTGTAAGAGAGTGCAACAAAAACAACTTGAGGATATGTTGAGCTAATCCTCTCCTGTGCATTTTGAGGTGAACACTCACATCTTGTGCATTTTGACTTGCAATGGATCTAAAGTTATTTGAATGTTCTGTAGTGACGCATACAATCTGACAAAACATTCACTTAATGACCCAGTTGATCCGTGAGGTCACTGTATTGCACCCCGTTGTTGCCGAAACCACACACACATACACCACAAAACCATACACTCTGTATGGATATAAACACAATCACCCCACATCCCACGCTCTCTGGTCCCATAACAAGGGGCCTCACTCATAAACACCGCTGCCCACATGAGCCTCATGATGTCATCTCAAGGCTTGTACAATGAATTATGCTGAGGCTCCCCTATGCACTGAACGGCTCATCCTGCCAAAACAGAGAGTGACCTTTGCCTAAACACGACATGCCGTGTTGAAATTGCTCATGAGTAGCGACAAACATCCTTATGATAAGCAGTCAAAAGTTGTGCTGGGAATAGTAGTTTGACAAACCAATCCCAACTCAAGGTCCACATACTGTTTTCTTGGTGGAGCATTCTTCTCTATCAAATGGCCTATGTGATGATAAAATCTACAGAAATGCAATTAGATATGGATTCAATTGAAATAGTTTTGTCAAACTACACATTTCATTTCAAGGACAAAGGTGAACTCTTATAGCCAACATTGATATGGACTAGGAGTCCTCTGGAAGCTGTGGATGAAATAATTTCAGCTTCTGATCCAACTGACCAAATATCATCTGTAGGTTTGTTGAGAGGCTTACTTGAACTAGTAATGCATTATGTGAATGAGACTATATTTAGTGAGCCAGAGATACTTACAGAGTCCAGAAGTGTGTATAGCCTTGATCATCTTCTTCATCCTCTGTAGAGTTGTGTGGTCCATCTCCAAAGACTGCCATAAAACGAGAATAATGAAAAAGTGAGACAATGACAGGGTTGGACATTTTATATAATGGATATAATGGCTAGTACTATCAACTAAATAACTATAAGTTTAAGCAACAATAACAAAACATCCTGTAAATCAAATGTTGCCATACAGTAGGCTTGCTTGATGATTTGCCTAATAATAAAGCAAAAACACGTGGGTTTGCTATCCTGGCTCCAGGATGGTGGAATGAGCTCCCCATTGACATCAGGACAGCAGATAGCTTGCACATCCTCCGGCGCAAACTGAAAACTCATCTCTTTCGACTCCACTTCGAGCGATAGAATTATTAACAAAGCACTTATATACTAATAAAGGACTGGCTTATCTAAAGCCAGTTGAGTAGCACTTGAAATGTTTGGCTCTATGAAACCTGATGTACTTATATGATTCTGTTTTCTTCAAGGTTGTGTCCTCCTGGTCGAATGCACTTATTGTAAGTCGCTTTGGATAAAAGCGTCAGCTAAATGCAATGTAATGTAATACATTCAGAGATAGCAAAGGGATAGCTCATGGAAGGTATAAACAGTAAAACTTCATCCTTCAATCGTCTCCTATCAACATATCCTTTTATCGTCGAACCATACAACATTCAAGCCTCCCTCTTTCCAATGTTTAGACTATGGGTTACAATCGTTCATAGATTCAGTATAAACTTCTCAATTATGACGATGTTTGACTAGTGTTACTGTTCTCAAGGCTTACAGTAGGAATACGTTTGTGTGATAATATGCTTATTTTTCTCACGGCGTGACTAAGGTGAACAGGTGAGTCAGGACTTACGAGCAAGACAATCGTCTGTCTTGTGTTGTCATGTACAACCCTGACTGATGTCATGGAATTCATTTCCCTTTTTGCAACACTTTTTCACCTTTTCCCACATGATTCAGGGCAAAAAGCAGAGTCAATTGGCGTCATTGAAGTTGGACAATCAATCTCCCAAACCAAAAGGGTTGGAAACTACTTCCTGTTTATCCCCAACACACAGGCAACTTGTTTGACTGGGCTAGACATGCAGCTCCACCTACATTAGAAATAGCTTTAATGAGGCAATAATATAGGTTTAACACAGGCTCTGCCTAGTTAGATGGTGTTGCTTACATGCCCCAGTCCTCGACGGTCAAGTCCACTCCCTAAATGTTAGTTAGCTAATTAAAAGGTGGCGTGGGTTTGGGTAACCCTGCAGAATGGGAAAGGGATTTTGTGGCGACTGGAGATGGGAGTTGCTCGCTGATGCTGTGGCTGCAGTTTCCTCAATTTTGTAAGTTGGTCGGCAGACAGAGGATAAACAGTGGAAACAAGCTGGTGCAGGTTAAGGAAACAGGTTGTGTTTGTTGAATTTAGTGAAATAAATGATGGCACAAGGACAAACCAACATACAGACAACCCACCCTTCAGCCGAGACGGACACACTGACACACATCCCTTCTGGAGAGGGTAATGAGGTCCACCCTACTGATGTAGAGAAACTTCAGTGTCTTTTACAGAGTCTCCCTACACCCGTATGCAAGCTTATGATCACCTTCTGTCAGGGTGTGTGCGCGACTGATATGTGATCCTTATTTACTGCATTAACTAGCATGACATAAATAGCTGTAGGAAAATCCACAGTGTATGATTTCAACATGTTATCCATAGTAGAAACCTTTAGATCTGTATGAAAAAACTCAAACAAATTATAGCTTACAGCTGTAGAAAATGAAACCAGTCCTTATCCCCTTCGTTCTCCTTTTATCAGCGCCTCTAATCAGGAGTAATAAGTAACAAGCAGCCGAGTGTGTGTTGGGGTAAATGGTGACTCTGTCTGCCGGCCTGCCGCAGTAAACCACACACATGCCCACTCATTGCCTAGCCATTAATCAAGCTTGTCCCTGCTAAGCAGACTAAACATTATAAGCATAGATCTATCTATAAAGGCCAAGGGACTGTCGCATTCGGGTGTGTGTGAGTCTGTCTGTCTGTAAATGAGCATGTGTAGGATTCCCACATGTCCCTCCCCAGAGTAGCAATTCCAGCTATGTATTTTCCAGTGTGTCATTGCCATAAAAAGGATATTATCCCAAGATAAATAGATCAGACAGCTGTGTAAAACTCTTTATAAGCCCTGGACGCTGCCGTCTCCATCTCTGCTCAGAAGTCAGTTTCCAGCCAGAAACGTCTTAATGGAAACCTTTCATCTTTCACAAACTTTCTAAGACTTATTATTGGAAAATGTATCAACTGGATACAATGCATGGATGCAACCATTGAAAACGATGTGATCTTCCCCAACATGGCCCAACTATGGTGACTCAAACTGATGTGAGCTCAGCTGAAAACAGACACACATCTTGAGTTACAGTAGAACAGTGTACCATAGTGTTTATGTCACAAGGAAGACAGACACGGAAGGATCGACTTGTGTGTACACTTGGATTATTTGTTTTATGGCAGAGTTCATGGCTGCCAACCTGTTTCCTTCTTTGCCGGGAATGTTTGGAAAAATACATTTCAAACAAACACTAACAGACAAGCAAATTGGCTTTGAGCCAAAGCACAAGTTCAAACAGAAAAAATGCAAGGACTGGCCTTCACAGATATGTTTGCAACCATGGACAAATGTCTGTTTACACTTACAAGAACAGTACCACTGTCAAAGGGCCACATTTGTTTCTGGCATGTCTTGAGAGTTGTCTGTAAGTGTCCAATCTCAGTCTGACACATATGAGGGGCAAGTATACTCTCTCTGTAAACTACATTACCTCATGTAACCTTCACTTTTCTGCACCACATAGAAAACACAGGCAACTTGACAACCCGTAGTGTGCAAAAACAACTGTGAAATGTTCCAGTTCAGAACCAGAATATTAGTCCAATGGTCTCAAAGGTTAAAAGGAGAGCACCAGTCACCCCCAAATCAGCATACCACAGACATTCATGTCAGAAAGTTTTCCCCAACACCAGTTTGTGCTTATTAAACACACTGCACCTGTCCTTCAGTGAAAGTACCCTGTTAGCATTGGTTAGCTTTTACAGCTTGAAATTACTGTTTTGTCAAAACCTCGGGCTGGGGCAAAGACTTCATGTTTAGTTTGTCTCTGTGCTCACCTGTGCTCACCTGCAAATAAACGTTTTGACGACATAAGGGCTCATCTTCACATTGCTGTAAACCCCCTCAAGTTGTTACATAAGAAAAGTAAACTAGCTAGCCTACAGGTGACTGTAGCCTCCTTCAGCCAGCCAGGCATTATGGACAGGTAAACAACAGACAAAAGGTGCACGTTTCCTTGCACCACCTTGCCTTCACATCTCTTACCTCCTCCACGGTTGAAACTGTGTTTCGACAGTCGCTCATTTTGGACTGGAAACTTGAATTCCCCGGCGAAGACATATCCTCGTTTGTGAGGACCACGAAGTCCGAAATGCTTATTCGCTCCGGCATGTTTGGAGCGAGAAGGGTCTGACAATCACTGAGGAGAAACGTGAGGCAAAGTTTCAAGCGCGCTTGTAATTCCACTTAGAAGAAAAATAACTAGTTGATTCCACCATTGTGCGCAAGAACTGAAAAGAGACTGTATTCCTTTGAGCACTAGTCCCTAAACAGCGTGTTTCAGGTAGAAAGTTGTCTAAAAGCGGACCTGTGTCCTGACCGAAGTTTAGGCTCCACTCTGTGAATGTGTGCGCGTGGAGGTGCGCCAGCGCGCTATTGTCCGCCCCGAGAGGGAGGGAGCAAACTTCATCATCACGTGGGAATGTTTGTGCTTTCTGGCACTCGGCAGAGAGAAAATAGAGTTTGTGTGTGTCCTCTTGCCTGCTTCTCTTTCATTCTTATTTCTCATTTCTATGCAAACTGCAGAGAGTGCCGTGTGGTCGCCATGGTTATACATAATACCTCATTCAGAGACTAAACTGAAGGGGAGGATTTTCACTGGATGAGGTGATGATGGTGCTTTGCAAGAGCATTTACACTGAGACAGTTAATCGAGTATCACTAAACAATATTATAACTAAAAGCTTTGATGTTTTATTAAAAGTGTATTGTAGATGAAAAATGAGTACTTGCACACATGTATCTGAGGTGGTGCTTTTGCAGCTGTGCAACTGCCCTTTAATCAAGCGTTTGGAGGTATAACGCCCCTGGCTATCCCTTTGGCTCAGGCTCCAAAGCTTCTTCCTCTTCCTTTTCATCTCATGAAAAGACATTTTTCATTGAGGGAGTTTTTCTAAAGACCCTCCCACTGACCTCCTCCTGAAAAAAATCGGATAAAGTCAAAGAAAATGAAAGAGTGCATCAAAGAAGGAAAAAAAAATCATGAGTTGTGTTAGAACATAACTCCTGCGTGCCTATTGTCAAACCTCAAAGCAAAGGGTGTATCACTGATCCTTGCCTCGGGGAGAGCAGTGATATCATACACTATGAAGTGCAGATAGGTAATTTTAGGAAGCTATCAAGTACAGTGGCTCCCTTTGGTTTAACCACAAAACCACACATTTGCCTACATTAGCTTTATGAAGGGAAATTTGTCCCAGCTCTATTAGGACACTTGAGTGTATTATAACCACACAAACAGACTCAAGTTGTGGGGAAAGTGTGTTTTTCTGTTCTCTGTAACTACTTTTTTCTGTCAAACAGTGAATATTTGATGCTGCGTTTTAACTATGTGTACTCACAGTTGTGCTATGTTCACATTCACAAACTCCTTTTTGAGCTGCAAGTCTCTTTCCTAACAAATAACTCTAAAAGCACAAGATTAAACATCTGTTGCATTTAGACATACATTAAAGTGTAAGCTTGAGGTGCCCATCAATCATTTTTCAGTAGACACACAAAGTGATAATCACTTGTAGGCCAAATACATATTTATTATATTTCCTCAAATGAAGGCAGCACACCATTCAAAATGTGTGCTTGATTCTCCAGAGGGAAAGCAGGGTGCTGGAAACCAATCAATCATCAAGAGAAAATGTCCACTCTTGTAAGGAAGTGAGAGCACGCGACAAACTCCAAACAATGCAGAGCCAGATAAATAGATTGCTGACCCAGTTTAACCAGGGCCTCATTCACTCATTGTTTCTGTTGCACACATGTATGCATGCAAGATCAGTTAGGGAAAGAGAAAGAAAGAGGTCCAAATGCATATAAACAGTTTGCACGACTACATGTAGGTGACCATTGTTGTACAATATATGTGCGTCTGCATGCTCATTTCCCATGCACACATTTGTCTTTTTCATGGATCTGGGCTGATGTAATGCCGAGTCTTGCTGTGTCCCAACAATACCCTCCTTCAGTTTCTTTGCAGCCCCTTGTAAAGAAGCAGAGCCTTTGTGCGTCTGCCAGCCTTCCAGCCTGGGTCCTATTGTAAAACTGAGCAAACCGGTCTGTGCAGGCAATGCACAAAATATAGCTGGGACAGGGTGGGGGGAAGAAAAAAAAAATAGGGAATCAGCAGAGGGAAATAGTTTTGGAAGGTGGAGGGGAGGAAGGGAGGGGGAGATGCACAGCACAGGGAGGTGGTACGACAAAGGAAAGGAGGAAAAGATAGATAGAAACTTCATTGTTTGAGTACACAGACTGGAGTGACTCACTTAATGTTTTCCCTCCTTATCTCCACCCTTTTCCTTCCTAAATAGCACATACCTATTCATTGTTAACACTCTCTCTTGCCACTGCCTATAATAATTTCACTCTTTACTTCTCACATTAACAGGGGCTTTTCTATCTCTTTTTTCCACACACCATTTCTCACTTTTGCTGCGAGGAAGTGAGGTACACCCAGTGCAGCTTCTCTCTTTCTGACGCAGCAGCACAGAGGTTGAAAACACATCTTCCAGTAAAGATTACAGCAGCCAGGATTTCCTTGCTGCTTCCCAGCAGCTCAGTGGAGTTGCAGCAGTAGGTCCCCCAACCTCCCCCCGAAAAATCTCCCTCTCCTCTCTGGTTGTTGACTCAGCTCCACTAGTTCTGCTATCAATTTACTACCCCTGTCAAGCCAGGAGGCCCAGGCTTACCGTAAAAGAACCCCTCTTCTGGTCGACATGGATGACTGAAAAGTGAGTGATTATGAGAGTAAGAGAGGGAAGGGTTTGATGTTTTGTTAAACACAGTTTTCTACAGGAATGAGCATAAGAAGTGTCTTCAGAGGGGCAGGGCCCTTACTGTCAACAATCTGTTTCAGGAACCTGCACAACTGCACTATTAAAAAGAAGGACTGGGGAACACCTTTATTGCAAAAAGAGCTGCGTCACCCAAAAATATACATAATCCCTTACACAATTGACTGAAGTTTATCAGTCTCAGGAAAGAAATTCAAGTTGTCTGTGGTATGGCAGCTGGCAACAAACTTTACCAAGCAGCCACATCCTCTCCAGCATGCCTGTCATCACAGTTGGTATAGCAACAAAAAGCTTTCCAGACTGATAAGAGGTGGTAAAACTTGTTTGTGATTCATTATTATCAATGCAGTATAATGTCAAAATCATGACGTTACAGGAACTGCACACTACTAAAACTGCATCCCTCTCCTCTGTCATCATCCTGTTGGACCTGTCTGCTGCATTCGACACGGTGAATCATCAGATCCTCCTTCGCACTCTCCAAAAACTTTGGGTTTCAGGCTCTGCACTTTCCCTCCTCACCTCATACCTGAAAGACCGTACCTACAGGGTGACTTGGAGAGGGTCTGAGTCCGACCCTTGTCAATTAACTACGGGGGTCCCTCAGGGCTCTGTTCTTGGTCCCCTCCTCTTCTCCCTGTACACAAACTCGCTCGGATCAGTCATTAGCCCGCATGGTTTTTCTTACCACTGCTACGCTGACGACACCCAATTAATTCTGTCCTTTCCCCGCTCAGAGACCCAGGTCGTCACACGCATCTCTGCTTGTCTAGCTGACATCTCTCAGTGGATGTCTGCTCATCACCTCAAGCTCAACCTTGACAAGACTGAGCTGCTCTTCCTCCCGGGAAAAGATTGTCCCACTCTTGACCTAACAATCAACATCGGCACCTCAGTTGTTTCCCCGACTCAGACTGCAAGGAATCTGGGTGTGACCCTAGATAAAAACCTGTCCTTCACTGCAAACATCGCTGCTACAACCCGTTGCTGCAGATACACGCTTTACAACATCAGGAAGATACGTCCCCAGCTGACTCAGAAAGCGACTCAGGTTCTGGTCCAGGCTCTCGTCATCTCACGCCTAGACTACTGCAACTCCCTCCTGGCTGGTCTACCTGCATGTGCCATCCGACCTCTGCAGCTCATCCAGAATGCAGCGGCTCGTCTGGTCTTCAACCTTCCTAAATTCTCCCACACCACTCCGCTCCCCCGCTCCCTTCACTGGCTTCCGGTAACTGCTAGAATCCACTTCAAGACACTGGTACTTGCTTACCATGCTGCGAATGGATCTGGCCCTTCCTACATCCAGGACATGGTTAAACCGTACACCCCAGCGCGTGCACTACGCTCTGCATCAGCCAAACGACTCGTTGCGCCCTCGCTGCGAGGGGGACCCAAGTTCCCATCGGCGAAAACACGTGGGTTTGCTGTCGTGGCTCCAAGATGGTGGAATGAGCTCCCCATTGACATCAGGACGGCAGATAGCTTGCACATCTTCCGGCGCAAACTGAAAACTCATCTCTTTCGACTCCACTTCGAGCGTTAGAACTATTAACAAAGCACTTTTATACTAATAAAGGACTGGCTTACCTAAAGCCAGTTGAGTAGCACTTGAAATGTTTGGCTCTATGAAACCTGATGTACTTATATGATTCTGTTTTCTTCAAGGTTGTGTCTTCCTGGTCGAATGTACTTATTGTAAGTCGCTTTGGATAAAAGCGTCAGCTAAATGCAATGTAATGTAATCTAATGTAATGTAATGTAATGACGTCACAGTGTTGTTTGAATACTTTTTTTCTAGGAAGTCTGAGAACACCTGTTGAATACTGTTGCATTGCATGTATCCATTCAATAATGATTACATTGATAACTATACTAATAGACTATAGGTTTTATACCTGCTAGGATAAAATGATTGCAGAATCTCTACATTAGATGTGTATATAACTTATACACAATTATATGTTATAATAGCTCCAACCCTTAAAGGTCACCTATTATGCAAAATCCACTTTTTCATGAATTGTATACATAAACATGTTTCCGGGAAAAATATTCGCACACTTTTTGTCCTGATCCATTTATATAAAAACCTGTCTGAAAATGAGATGATCAGATTTTAGCCACTTTATGATGTCATAACGATGTTTTGGTTTGTGTAACCATTAGCCAATAACCAACCAACACCCGTCCACCTGAATCTCCCTCTAGAGCACCATTGTGTTCTTTTTAACCAAATATCTCTCAGAGGGGCGTGGGGAGGTAAAGTAACAGACAGAGAATCAGCACTTTTGAAACAGGGCTGAAACAGAGGGCATTATGGGATGCTACAATGCATGATCTGTTTGGTATTTTGAGCCAAACACTTCAGAGACATGTTTTGTATATATCTGAGACCTCTAATATATTGATGTAAAACAGTATAATAGGGGACCTTTAATGAAAATAATACTACCATTATGTGTCCCTTTAAAGCGGCAGTAAATAATGACATGCTACATTTTGGCCTGAGGTTGTTGCTGCTTTCTGACGAGCTGTCACTTTGGCACACAGAGGGTTTTCAGTTTCGGGCAATTGAAGCGTTCAGCTAAAAGCAATTGGTGTCAAGGTGCAACGTGACAGAACTGAGGTGGTCTGGTGTTTAGATGGCATGTAAACCCCACCGTCAACTGCAATATATGTGTACGTGGTTTCTGAAACTTCGGTTTACCACCTCTTGTTAAGCACACAAGCTGTTCAACGCAACATTTGTTAATAGATACTTAGCGCTAATAGAGACCTGATGTTGGTTAATAAGCATCAGGCGCAGGAGTTAAAAAAAAAATGCAGAGACAGGATTTCTTTGTAAGGGTTAAGAAAAAAAAAGCAACATGTGGCACCCTTAATAAGTGTGTGCTTCCTGTTTTTGTTAGATACTTTTAAAGGCCATAAACTTGTATGTAAATGGCTTCAGGGAGAATAGAGCATCCAGCATGTTGGCCTTTTTTTAGAGCATTTAGTCAAAGACATCAAATCATCATTCCCAAAAGGCAGCCAATGTGCAGTGAGAAACCTGCAAATCCATAAATGTATTGGGCAATTTGAGATTCATCTCCTTGCAAATGTCCCCCTCCCCCGAGTGTGTTAGCGCTATTCCTCAGTGACCCACTGAACTTTGACCTCATCGACCTCGGCTCCTATTGTGAGCTAGTTTCCAAAGCAACCAACTCACTAAGAATGATGGGTGTTTTTTGTCAACCTGTCCGATTGTGTTTAAAGCCCATTCAGTGTCATTGTAGCTCTTCATGTCGACCTATTCTCTCTCCTCTGGGAATGTCACTTCCTATTAAGTCGATATCCTCAGTTGCCCGAGCTGGTTTTAGACAGAGAACACTCTATTATTAATAGTAGACTATGTTGAGTTGAACCTCTGGGTACCTACTCCAGTATTGATGAAGAAATCCCATGTGCTAGTCAGGTCCTATTAAGATAAATCTTGTATAGGCTTGAAGAAAACAAATGAAAAGCAATGATGCATAAATATTATAAATGTTTCCCCTGAATTTTTTTAAACAAATGTTCAAATTGTGTAAGGGAATTACACGTTTATGACATAAAAAGTGAGTCATGGAGCTCAATTCCAAATGTAAACAATGGCTTCAGTGTTTATTTAATAATTTCAAACAGACCACACAATATTACAAAATATTAAGTGCCGCATGTCATACAAAAACAGTTTTGCCTTCTGTAAAAATAAAAAAGGCAAGTATCAACTTTCAAAGATGCAGGTATAAATACAAAACAAATTATGTACAAATACCAGAAAAATAATGCTCATTGAAAAAAATAACTACAAATTCTGAATTCACATTAACTAATCTACATCATAAAACTCACAAACACACCATGAGACCCATTTCCCAAACTGTCAAATATACACACACACATAAACACACACACACGTTTCAAGTTTTGTTAGGACAGGACAATTAGCTTATCTCTGCAGTTTAGAGGGAAAGCCACAATTATATCTGCATGAAATTCAAATTTCCGAATGTCTAGAACGCTGCAAAAAAAAATAATGTAAACAGATAAAAGACACAGCTGCTCTGACGAAATTTTAAATGGTTGCACCAGCATGCATTAAAGCAATTATGGGCGTGAAATTTAAACAGCTAAGACAATAATTATTTCTTATTTATGTTGCTGCTAGACAGTAAGCAGACTTCATCCATTTCTGAACAACAGCAAAAGCAAATAGCTACTCTAATTAAACCTTAATTACATACATTAACACCCCCTTCTATCACACCTGCAACACAGAATTAGATTTATTTGGGGGTATTGCCTCAGAAATACAATAGTAGTGTCACACTACTAAATCTACAAACTTCTATTCAAATCAGCAAATTCGCATTTATAGAGAACCTGGATTTGAAAGAAAGCTGCCATACCAACATGAGTGAGTGTAGCCTTCTAGATCAGGCAGAGATTGTATGTGGTCCCAAAGAACCCATTATCAGTCATTGACTCTGGATCTGGCTCCATTATTGGGTGTCAGAAGCTGCCTTTCACATTTTGGCACACAATGCAGCCCCAAACAGGTACGAGGCCAGGAATAAAGCTTAAGGCGAAGAAAGAGAACCTGATCTGACAAAGCGACACAAGCTCAAAATCAGATATTGTTTATGCACCTACAAAAACTGGTATTATTCACAGCAAGATTAATAGATGGCTCTTGGTGGCTTTAGCTCTCTCTCATCCAGTGATTGAATCATGTAAAGCTGCATGTCAGTTAAAGCTGACATTATACAAGGCTGCCCCCTACAGGCCAAAGAGTGGCACAAAACCTTAAGACTTTGGAAACAAAAATAAACAAAAAATTCCTGAGTTGTCACTGTAAACACCGCCTGATGAGACGCATCAGATTTTGTCGCTGGGGATGTGAAATGCATAATAACTCCTATGTTCGTTCAAGTTAATACATGCTTTTAAAACAGTGTTTCCTAATGGTTGGAGATTACACATCCATGTCAATCTAAACCTAACCAGACCTCGCAGTCTGATATTTAATTTTACAAAAATATATACAGAATTTAATAAAATAATCAAAAGGGGGTAACTCCTCCTTTGGGTTCATTGACATCAAAACAGGCATGGTAAAAGCAAAGAGTTATGGCTTCATAGTGTAATATGTACTACCTCGTGAAGGCATTTCATTAAATATTCCCCTTTAATCCCCGCAGATTACCTCCACCCTCCTTCATCTACACCTCAGCTCTTCAAAAGTTCTCCGAGATCGTAGGTGTCGAAGAAGTCTGACACTCCCTCGCTATCCTCCAGGCTCCAGAGGTAATCGTCGTGGTCCAACGGGGGAGAGAAACTGACAAAGGGGGTGTTGGGGTCGGGGGCAAAAGAGGTGCAAGGAAGCTGGTCTTCTGTCATCTGCATCAGGCTGGGGGGCAGACCCAGCAGACGCTCCACATCCAGCAGGGCGGCGGTGGAGGCTGCAGCACAGGAAGCAGCTGTGGAAATGTTGCCTGGGAATAAAAACAGAGAGAACAAAGGTTAATATTTGTAGCCTGACATGTCTTATTTTTGTAATTTAAATACATTCGTTTTTCATCTTTCAACACGTTTTGTTTTTAACTTTATCCATGAGTTGTATACCTTTATGTTCATGTATTAAAGGTGGGGTAGGTAAGTTTGAGAAACCGGCTCGAGATACACTTTTTGTTATATTCCATGGAATGCTCTTAACATCCCGATAGCAATGAATATCTGAAGTGCTTTGACAAAAAATCCATTCAAAAATGTCATCTGTGGAAGCCGTAGTACTGTAAAAAGCACGACCAATCATTTTAGCCGGCCCAGCTAAAATGATTGGATGGCCTGCCTGTCAGCCTTCCATCTGTGCACAAACTTATCTCATGCCCTCATTGGTCATGTGCGCGTTTGAGTGTGTTGGAGGAGGAGCTCTGTAAGGAAGTGGCAGATTTGTGTATTTTCAAATTCTAGCGCACTCGAGCTGGTTTCTCCAAAATGACCTACCCCACCTTTAAGTATTTCTTTTTAGAAATGTATAATGTTTATTAATGTTCTTTTCTACACAAGGATTTATTGTTTGAAATGTTCCTTAATTTTAGTATTGGATTTATTTTAATTACATATTTACTAGTATGGCACTTTAATCTGCACTAATGTCTTTAATTGATGCATTATCTTAAAGAAGTAGTTTGAGGTTTTGGGATATAATAATATCTTTATACACTTGCTTGAGAATTAAGCTTGAGCCAGCCGGTGTTAGCTTAGCATAAAGAATGATTGTTTAAAAAGGTACCTAAAGCTCACTTGTAACACTACTTATATTAAAACGTCCTTTAAAAGTTTATCATAGCATTCCTATAACACTGTGGAATTAAAGTGAGAATCTAACAGTACTGACCCCACAGAAAGCCCAGCTTACATTCAGACGGCTCCTCTTTGACGCTGTAGCACGGTGGAGCCATTGGGGTTGCTGATGGATGGCAGAGGGGCTGAGGGAACTCCTTTTTAGGGGTGATAGCGCTTTTTACTGGGCTAGCATCTTCAAGACCCTCCTCTGGACACAGGTAGACTTCAATGGGTCCATTCTTACTCTTTAAATATATCTGTAATGAGCCCTGCTGTAATGAGAAGGAGAAAAGAATATTAAACATACATATAGATGTTTCGCTGCAAGTACTCTGTGTTTTTGGAGAGTTTTTATTATGTGATGACTACGTTGTCTTACCCCTGCCGTGTCTGGCACCTCCAGTTTGGTGTCAGCGGGGGCCTTGACGGCGATGACTGTCTGATCTCGGAGGGTCCCGATGGAGCGGATGTCTTGATATGTCACATAGCCCAACGTAAAGTGTGTGGTCAAGGATATTAACAACAGCAGAATTAACTAGACAATTATATGTGTAACCATACCCATAAGACCAACAGAGAACCACGAGGACAGAAACAATCACTTCCGGTTGTAAAGGATATCTTTTATTGTCTTCATATTCTGTGAGTTGTTTGAGCTGTGCGGTGCTGGAGTGGATCAGCTCATCCAGAGACCTTTCTACCCTCTCCAGGTCTCCAAGCTCTTTCCGCAGGGCGCAGGCCTTCTCTCCTCCACTTGCACCACCCTCAAATACATCTCCAACCCTACGAGAACACAAAGAGTACACATGATTGAAAATATAGTTTGACAATCTGAATGCGGTACAAAATATTTAATTAAAAACTCTATAACAATGACACCGTAATAGACAGTAATGGTTCAGTGGATGTTTTTGAGTACAATGCCCCCTAACAGCCACTAGGGGGCAGATAAATACAATATTATTGCAACACACAGCAGCTTTTAAACAACCTTTTGAAAGTTATTTTTGGACTGTGTAGGTCACTGCTCAGATAATGGCATTTCAATTATACTAGTTATGCATTCCTCATTTTTATTGTCCTTAATGCCCACGACAAAACCCCCTGATCACCAGTTAGACTAAAGGGCCCTACATAAACTGGTTGTATCAAAGTATATGAAACTTTTTCCTCAAAACCTTTATCTCCTGTTAAAACTAATGCCTCTATCAATATCAAATGTCTCATACTGTATTGGTACTTACAGCCACTGGATGTTGTTCTTCGACTTCTTTCTGATGAGTTGGACTCCCTCCAGTACGTTGGTGATGTCATAGATGCGTCTCTTCTGGACCTCCAGGACCTCCGTGGCCCAGTTCAGATCTAAAACTCCATCAGGAGACTCTGCGATCAGACCCACAAACTTCTTTGTCAGCAGGCCCAAGGAGGTATCGTACCGTGTCCGCTCACCTGGAGACTTTGGAGCTAAGAACAGAGAAACAGACAAAGGCACATTAAGTCATTTTAATTTAAAAAAGTCTTGGTAGGAAAATGCTAAACATCTCTAACACAGCTAGGTTTTGTCCTTGCTGCTAGGTCTAATAAAATAAAGATACTCAAGGTGAAAACTTCATACGAGTGTCATTGTGTTGATTACCTGTGTGAACGTGACTAATGTAGCACTATCTGTGTTTATGATCCTATTCATTGATCGTTAACAGTCTTCACACCACACAGAGATACATCTCTATTACCTAAAAACACATGTCTTCAAAAGCACATGTTCCAAATATCCACATTATATTTGGAACCGACAAACTCATTAAAGGTTGCTTCTGTAGGATTGTTCTGAGCTGGCCCTTTTTACCCATCATGACCATCTGTGAGCAAAAGTGTAATCTTGAAACAAGCCATTACTTTGTATTCCCTTTGGACCTGTACCATTGTAAAGCACTGTAATTAAACCACTTCCTGGGGCTTATCTGTTTGAACTTATTCTAGTATTTTATTGTTCCTTTAAAATTGCTTTTCTTTATAATGTAATGGGAGTTAATATAACTTTACCATTGACCATATTCCACTACGCTTACAACTTCCTGTTTATTTTTTGAAATGTTCATTTTCCTGTTTAATGTGCCTCCTTATTCCCGAGAAGAAAAATCTCTCTTTATGAATTGAATTTCCCTTTTTTGTGCTGTACACTAAAATCATTAAATAAAAGCACAATTCATCAGCACAGATGCCAATACTAGCATGGGTTAAGTTCAAGTATCTACACACAAAAACTACAACATTACACCACCTCTTTCACATCTCTCTATCCTCCGAGTCTAGTGGTGTACTCACTCCTCGGACTTGGTATCCTCGCTGCGATGCTGCCTTTGCCTTTTGGTGTTCGGAACTCTGGCATGTAGAGAGGGTCCTCTAGATCCAGCTTCCTTTTAGCCTGGAAAGAAAAGAGTTAATGAACATTAGTAAAAAACAAAAAAATGAAATATAAAGCAAAGAGGGTGCTTCTTGTAGTCGTAATAATGAACAACCGTTTGAATTATTTCCTAGACTATGGTCTGGTGGGAACAATGTTCCTTTCTTGACAGGTTAAAAGTTAAATCATGAGAATGAAGTGTGTAGGGCACGTCCACATCCATGCTAAGGAAGTGATAAATAGGGGGTTGTTGCAAAGTGTCGTAAATGTGCCAACAGCCCTCAAGTGCTGGAACAAAGCATCCCCGTCACACTTTCCCCAAGTACTTCAAGCAGGGCTGATGGTGTGGGTGTTTTTGGGGGTGAATAGAGAAAGGGGGTGATCGTCTCTCGACCCATGGCCCACAAAATGCGAGGAAATCCCTGGACTCATTCAATGACCTCTCCTCCCCCCCTCGAGACAGCCTACATCCCCTTTGCCCTACAGCTTAACACCCAGTCTCTCCACACAAACCGATGATTGCTAAACTTTAACGCATAATACACTAAGATCTGCAGCTTCAACCTTTGGACGCCAATATAAACTTAATATCTACATGAGACCATTATTTATTATCAATGACCTACATGGCCCAATGTAACAAAAGTGAAAGTCACATGAAGCCACACCCCCCCTCACAGGATTGGGAAATTACCAACTGATTGAGAAACTAAAAAGTTGTGCAAAGTGGCAACACCCTAAAATGCTGAGTTTTCGACAGTAAATTGTCAACTTCAACACGATTGACAAGAAAGCCAATCCACATTCATTCCCTTCGCCACACACTGCACCCACACAAAACCCTCGGGTGACTGAGCTCACTAGGTGTGGGATTTAAAGCCCGACGATACCGAGGCAGCTGGGTAACTTGCTACATTGGTTAGGAGTCATGTATGACTGTGTCCTCGCTTAACCTTTCAGCTTTGTATGGCTGCCTGTCCTACATGTCTCTTCACAAAGACTTGGCCACAGTAATCCTTTTTGTCACTGCAGTGCTTTAGCTAATAGGTTTAGACAACTGACTCTCAGAGACGTAAAAGTGCTGAATTGACTTAACCACGTGTGGATGCGCCTGTGAGTGTGGGGAAAATGAAGGCTGCCATTGTCTCAGCGTGCCCCCTGACATGTCCACCTGTTGACTGGAGACATCTGGAGCAACACACGAATGTGCTGCTGGTGGACCAGCTTTAAATCCCTAAAGCATACAGTAACTCAAGACAGAGAAACGCACAGGTCAAAATGGTGGCTGTTAGCATTTATTTATGGGATTTTTTTTTTACGTGTTTTTTACATGTGGCCCAGACTACTGACAGTAGCTGCCAAAAAACAGGGTTCACAGAAAGGAATGTGATACTTGTTGAAGTGGCTACAAGCAGGGACAGCTGTAGTGAAAACAGTGATTAGATCTTTCTGGTTTTACTTGATTGTACAATTTCTTCTGTCCCAGCATAATATTGTGAAAAAAGATCAGCCTTGACATTAGACTTAGTTTTAACTTCATAACTTCAATGACCTAAATGTAAAGTTCAACCAGTCTACATTTTTCAGGCGTGTATGTCAATAATTCACAGCATGGTTTCACCCTGCAGCTGTAAAGGCTTGGGTGCTCCCTTTTTTGCATATGGGATTTCTCTGGTGACTCAACCATATTACGCAAACACCATCTATTGTGGTGGAAAGCTGTCATCTGTTTAATTATCGTATTATAGGCCAACACAAAGGCAAAACGGCCAGAAAGACTAAATGTGATCACTTATAAAGCTGGACATTTTGTACATTACAATGTTTATAGTTATCACACATTTAATCTCTAAGACTATCCTGCCCAGTTACACCCAAAGCACAACACATGGCTACTTCTGTCTGCTGTACATTCTTAGGCTGATTGCTGACGGTGCTGTGTTGAAATCTCCACAGTAGTGTTTCACACAAAAAGTCACAGTCACATGAAGGACGTCTGCTGTTAGGGCCTCTCTTCAAACCAACAAACCTCATCTGTCAGGCTGCATGGGAATCGGATTCCATCGAAGCCACGGGCAAGTTATGGTATGCCTACAAATATCTACTCCTCTGCAGACAAACCCCACTACCCACGGAGAGTGAAAAGACAAACAATGCCTGATGCATTGCTGCTGACATTGTCAACAAGACTCAAGAGGTGAAAGACGGGTGGATCTGCCCATTTGGGTTTGAGTGTTTTAAATTAGTTTCATGTCCCGTCTGTTTTTCATGTATTTATGCTATATTTTTAAACAGTTGTTGATGTACAGCACTTTGTTCAACTATATTGTTTTTAAATGTGCTATAGAAATCAAATGGATTGGATAGAGAGAGGGGTTGCAGGCTGCTTTGAAATGCAAAACTGCCTCTATTGAGGACATTATGCTGATGCCGGGGTAAACCAAGGTGAATAAGGGCGCACAGAAAAGCATTAAGAGACTCTGGCTGAGTGCATACAGTTGGAAACGTGGCCAATGTCACACCAGAGTGTCATCATTCTCAATAGGGGCTCGACTCTGGAACAACTAGGTAATTCAAGGCAGCAGTGGAGGGAAGTTTGTGAGAAAAGGAGTCATTCATAAAGCTGATATCAATGCGTATGCAGTCTTGGCAGATTGCGCACATTCCGGTCAAATCTGGGAACACGTACATGTGGCATAAGCAGGGAATAAGAGGGACATTGTTTCTGGTTGACATTATGCAGAAGCATCTTGTTGCTTTACTGCCATTTGGCTGAGGTAAATGGGACTTGTTGCTTTGAGGATCAAAAGTAGCCGTCATAGAGAGAAGGGGCATCCCTGGACTTTGGAGGGAGGCCTGAATCCTATAACACATTTACATCACGATCAATCCAAAATGAAACAAGAGTGACACAACATTATCAGCAGTCCACACACCCTGGTTAAAAGTCATATGACAATCACTGATACACTGCCTTCTACTACTGTCAGAATCATTAAGGAGTAAAGATGACATCCCTGCAGCTAAAGTTGAAACTTTATTCAGTAAAACATTCACTTTACTCAGTGTCGCAAAACAAATGCCCCACAAGTAAGCTTTGCATTCAAGCGTGTGATTATGCATGAGTGATAAAGAGTTGTTTTGTTTAAGTACAAACAAATATAGTGGAAATTGTCTGAACTTAAAGGAACTTAGGTTTAGGTGTTTAGCCAAACATCCTGTTACACAGTTAAACAAACCTAAAGGACGGTTACTGTATTGCTTTTAAAGTTGAAACAAGTGAGCTGAACATGAAGAAGTAGCACTTCCTGTAAACACAAGACTGAACAAACAATGAAGCTGCTGTGTCAGCAAACACATGAAGAGGACACTAGTGTCCAATCCATCTTCTAATTCTGCAATACATTGAAATAAATTCATTACTTCAGAGTGGTATTTTGGCAGGATACTGCTGTGCAACCAAACTTCTGTATACAAATAATTTGGAGTAGAGAAGTATCATTTTATTTGGGACATGACCCGTCAAAAAACTGCAGCTGTAGCCTGTGGTAATAAAGACAAGGACGCACTCAGAACCCCCCCCCCAAAAACAATGCCTACCTCAAAGTATTTAAGCAATAGTGGACACGTTATTCTTGTCACATGAAAGATACACTTTATTTAATCATCTACTTATAGTCACATATTCTTATAACACTTTAAGGTGATATCCTCCCGAGAATTGAACATTTGCCTCATTTACTGAAATGCGGAGGAAGTTTCATAATTATGGGTCTCTGGGGCTTTTGAAACCTGCTCTGTCATTTCAAAAGTGCATCACTCCTTTCCACCTAAACTGATGTCCTGTAACATATGCAACAACGTGTAATATTGTAATAAATTACACACTCAAAAGTCTTAGTTATTGTAGCCACAACAAATCCAAACACATGTCTACATCTAATGTGTGCATCTAAATTGAGCAAAAATGGACAACACCATTATCAGTAAAAAACAATGTCATCTTGACTCTTTTTAGCCGGGGCCAGTTAAAAGGAAAACATCTGTCGCATGAAATGGTCTTAATGCTGGGTTAAATTGTGAGTAATACATTTCCAAGTCAGTCAACCAAATTAATTTGAATTCTCACATGATGTACCAACTTAATATTAATGCTTACTTGTAATGTAGTTTACCTCTGCATATGATAAGCCAGGTGGTAGCCCATTCCTCACTTTACTTATGTCCACCTAATCCTCTTGAAGGGCCTATTAGTGAATACAGGCTCCGAGGGCAGAGGGTTAACATGAGATTTGGAGAGCCTGTACACACTCGTCTAAACCCTAACCCCTTTATCCATGTGGCGATTCTCTAACAAGGCTGCCTGGCCTCAAACAAGAGTCCAAATATAACAAGCAACAGCAGGTGTGGAGCACTAACACGAGTGCCATCCAATCCTCTCAGATCATAAAGCTTTTCAAATAATCATTCAGCAATAATAATAATGGAAGCAATAATGTCAATGCATTGCAGGAACAGTGCTCACATTTATTTCATTTACATTAACAAAATAAGGCACCATGTTTCATAGTAGCTCCTTTCACTTTAGTGTCAACTCTCAAGGAATGACAGCAGTTGTTGGGTTGCGACCTATAACCTCTACCTCTTTCCTACAGTGTTGTGAACAGGTTATACAGGTCCTGTGGTGCCTCCATGACAGGTGCTGTTTGAGCAGCTGTCATTTGTGCAATCACAACAAAAATACAAGTGATACTTATGGCTCTGGACATTTTTGTGTTAAAGTACACATGAATTAAAGCTCCCAAAATGGTTAATATAACAGTGAAATTCTGTGTTTACATTAATGTCTGCCACCAGCCTGGTCATTGTTTGATGCTATAAAAGCTACAGGCTGTCTGCTACTGTGTAGGCTACTCATCCTTCCTTTTCACAAGCGAGGGGCCCCAAACACTCTCCAAACAGTATCAACTCCCCCCCCCCCCCCCCCTTCCCTTACCAAAACCATCAAACCCAGATTTACACACACAGCGTCTGCTCTTGTCTAGCAACAGCTGGACTGCGGGAAAAGATGTCACACAGCCCAACATGGCAGGGGAAAAGACACACACCATTCACACACATCCAGCAGCACTCACAGTGGCTCCTCTGTGGCTTATCACGTCAAAACATATTTCAATGTGCCCCAAACGCTGCTACACATGCATACCAACGGAAATCAAGAATGATTCCGCCCACATAACCCACTGTACTGGACACACTTCGTATTCAGTTATTGAAAAGTGTGTGTTTGTAGTGCAGGCTTAGTGTGTGTTTGATTCCTTACCGGCAGTCGCCCGGAGGATGATCTGATGGGTTTAGCCTCTGGTCCGTGGGGGGTTGAATACAGGCTGTTGGCTCTTTGTTCGGCCACGGCTGTGTTGCAGATCTGGGTGAAATAACCGGCTGGTACCGTGCTCATCGGTGGGCTGGAGAGTCCGGTGCTGAAGAACTCGGTCTTCACTCCTCCGGTGGACAAAACCTTCATCTTCTGCTGAGGACAAGGCAGTCCCACTACCGGCCGACCTGATGCCGGAGAGACGCCTTTAGGCATCCGCATCATTTTCCGAAGTAAACTAAATATAACCGTATTGGTCAAACTGGAAGCTAAGCGCACTGATCGATGCCCTGCTAACTGGCTTCCTGTAATTAGCAAGCTGCTGCTGCTGCTAGAGGCTTTGTATGAACATATACGTCTACCCTGCCAATATAATAACAAAAGAGCCAAACAGCAATGTTATACAGCAGAACCCAGACAATTAAGTGCAAACTGCATAGGTTAAACAGATAATTAAAGCGTATATTTCAACAATATTCTTCAGTAAATACTGCAGGCTAGTCGTTAATATCCTTTGTCCGGTAACAAAGTGCAGAGGAAACTTACCCTACAGGTTACAAAGAAACTGCCTGTTAAATAAATTATCTACTTCAAACATCCAGTTTTTTTAAAGTCCAGCACAAGAAGGCTTCCAGGTCTAAGAGAGATCAGGTTCCAACTTGAGATTTAAGATTTATTTTTGAGTCCTTGTGATGCGGAAACGACCCTGTCTGTGACTCCTGTCCGTCCACCTCAGAGCTCCGCTCTCCATACAAACAGGACAAGAACTAGGGAAGAACAGCTTTTTTACCGCCAAAGTTGGTCCCGCGAAATTTAGATCTCCCGCGGTTAGATCTCGCTTCTGATTGGCTCACGGCACGTTCGGCTTGTCACATTTGCATAAAACAGTTGTTCGCCGGTGTGGCGGGTCATGTTAAAGCGACAGTAGCACCATTTCAGGACAGAATGTTCTTTATTACCAGGAGTGGGAGATGCAGACAATGAACACTTCATATTTTGAAAAAGAATATACCCAGTCTATATAAACTGATATAAAAAATATGTTTGTAACTTTGTTGATACTTCACTTTAGTTATAACAGAACACAATGAGTAACACATCTTGCATCATACAGTATTTTGAGCTACAATTTATTTCAAATGTGGAAAATTACAGGAATATAATTGTCAATACATCTAAAATGTCCTGTTGGATGCATCCATAAAATGTGATTGTTATCAACAATGTAACTTAACAGTCTTTAATATTTAGTGTGTTAATCAGGGGTGGGTTAGGTTTAGCCTCAGATAAGAAGTAGATCACAAGATACAGTGCATTTTCAAATAGTGAACTAGTTTGTCTGAGGAGACTCTTCAGTTTCAACTTAAGTGAAATAAATGACAAATTATACATCATTATATATACAAATGATCTGTGTGGGTGATTTAAATAGTAAGAAAGGAGCTATTTAATTGTTTACATTGAAATCCATATACTCTCTTGATGAAAGTGTATTGTTGCCTGTGTTTTAGAAGGTGTTGCTGTGGATAGTGTGTAGATGGTAATTGGATTCATTCAGTACCACTCTTGCTTATTGGCTCAGAGGAGATATTGAAAGAAAACAACCCCTCCCCCACCAGCAGCTATCAGACCCAAGCCATATGACTTGACCCCCATTGGCCAATGCAAAGCAGCAGACTCGTATCCACAGCAAGGCCTTTTGTCATGCCTCGATTTGAATTACATTTCAAACCATGAACTCAAAAAAAATTCTAATACAAGTTCAGCTAGTTATGCTTTATTCAATCAACATTGTAACAAATAACTTTTTACCATCTTTTTAAACGGTGAGTCCAACAGTTTACCCTGTTGCCTGCTTTTTACACTGGATTAGATGGCCTGATTCTTAATTGGCTGGTATTGGAGACATTTGCTATGTTTTTAATATTACATTCAAGCTTTAAGATGTAAGAGACAAGAAATTGTGACAGAATTGACATATTCTATATAGTGCAACTTCAATCATGTCCACCTTATTTTCTTTTCTATAGAACTACAAAATGCATTCCTACAAAATGCAGAAGTACAACTCATTGGAAACATTGCATTGTTGATAGTCCAGATTAATATTTTGTTCAGATTTAGATCCTTTTTGTAGTATAACGTGGTCTGAAATGTGATTTGTAGATACAGTGTTTAGGTAGGTCTAGTTTTGGTTTTAGTGGTTTTAATGCCTTTCATTTTTGACTTCTTTATAGAACTTGGGCTCACATAAGCCTGCAAAACAAAACGATATTTTGAGCTCAAACGTAAAATTACCTGACTGACAAATATGACACTACGGTCACACAATGAAGCATGCAAATCAGTTTAACCATGACATCATTATTATTTTTAGAGCCTATTGTAACTTGTCATTGAATACTGTGTACCAAGCATTCATATTCAATCAATCAATCAATGTTTATTTATATAGCCCAATATCACAAATGTTACATTTGTCTCAGTGGACTTTACAGTTTGTACAAAATATCAGTATGACAATATGACACCCTCTGTCCTTAGACCCTCACATCGTACAAGGAAAAACTTCCAAAGAAAACCCACAGTTTAAAGGGAAAAATGGGAGAAACCTCAGGGAGAGCAACAGAGGAGGGATCCCTCTCCCAGGACGGACAGACGTGCAATAGATGCCGTGTGTAAATTATATTACACACATATTGAATTCAAATGGTGTTAAGGAAATATGTCATGAATGTTTTGAGTCATTTTAAGTATAGTGTGAAATACCTCACAACAAGGGCTCACTATGGAGCCAAATAAAAGGGAAAGTACTGTGACATCAACTTAACAGAAAAACTTTTGTTTGGCATGCCAAAATGTGTTTATGACACAGCTGCAGTGATTCAGAGTTGGATATTTGTAGTTTGGCAAATTATGAATTTGAGGGGTTACAGTTGTTGCTCAGTAATCTCTGTCTTGAACCAAACCAATTTGGATTTGTTGCAAGGTCAACGGGGTTGCATTTCTATGTCAAAGCGGCACTTGACCTGCGGAAGTTGATTTAGAAATCAGAAGCAACAGCTTATCTTGTTTAGAGTGCTGACATTCCTGGGATGTCAGGAGGACACACGTTGTTGCATTCTCATCCAACACCCCCATCTTGTGGTGAGGACTGCAATCTCATTTTCTTTACTGAAGCCTGAAGCATTGACTGGTTAATCGTTCTCTGTTTCTTTCAATTAAGAAAACACACAAGGTCAAATTATCCATATATTGCAACTAAAAAGTACCCATGCACATACCTTGATCACATTTGCATAATCTACTCCTTAAACCTGCACAGATATTGCAGTTCTTTCTATATTTTGCTATATCTATATTTATGTTTTTTGATTGACAATGAAGTACTGCCATGGGCAGACCAAAGCTCAGTCCTCTCTTTTATTGAGTGAGAATGCTGACACAGCATTCTAACTATCTGTTATGCTTCGCACAAAATTCTTTATTATTCCGCCGGGTTATTTTGCGCCTCTTCTTCTCCCACATTGAACATCGCAGAAACTCCGTTCGAACATCAAAACGTTTAGCTCGGTCGGGAATCAATGGCTATTACTTTTATCATTCATAACTTTCATAATTCCAGAGATACATCCCATAATTCATCACATTTTGAACATGGAAGTCAATGGAGAAACTCTTCAGACTTCAACAATCTTCATGCCACTTCAACTGCTAAATGTTCCTTCATACTTTCACTCAGAAACCTCATTCCAACTTTAAAATGTCACACATCTTTCTGACATTATTCGCGTAACACAACTTTTTAATCTGATTCTTACTTTTACAGATATTAAACATTGTTCAGACCTTGGTAAAGAGGCCTTCTTCAGATTTTAGAGTGCGTGATGTCACAGCTAGATTGGAGGACAGATTGAATTTTGCCTTCATATTTTCTTTTAAACCTGCAATAATTCCCAAACCCTACATTCCTGAGACATTATTTTTCATGAGAAACGTAAGAAAACATCTCATAGCTTGAAAAATAAAAAAAATAAAAAAAAATAAACAAAATGCCTCTTGAGGGCATGAAGTGACAAAAACGTTCAACATGTATCCATTAAACCCCATTGTAAATTCAGCCTAATCGATCCCCACCACAGCATCCGCACACCTTTAGTTAATCTGCCAAAAAGGCCACATTATTGACCCGAAAGTACACAAAAAGTACACTTCAGATGCTCAAGTTCCTTGACATGCTTCACGCTTTGACATTTCACCGATATCTGTTACGGTTCTTCAACAAAACGTTCACATGTAAGAGGTTTATCTCTCATTCAGAACAATGAAATAGCTCTCCTCTCATTGATTACTGCACATCACCATGGAAACCTTTGATCTCTGGACACGTCGTTAGCTCAAATATAAACACCTGTGTCATGGAACACAATGATGTCATCACTCAAACTGACATGCTCAGAGCAGCAGACTTCAGATAATGGTTAACGCTCCAGCCCTCACCAGCTCTACGTCAATTATGGGGTGTCATCATATGCCGTTGCCATGGCAACACAATGCTCGCCATGAAAGACGGTTTTCTCATAACTTCAGTGAAAATGCTCCAAACGGCCCAAAACTTCACAGGTTTGGTAACGATGCAGCCATCAATGCATCTAAGCGTATTATAGGATGTCATCAAATGCCGTTGGCATGGCGACAGATCATTCACCATCAAGTTAGTTAACAAGCTTGCAGTTCAAATATTCTGCTGCTTTTCCAAGCCTATTTACTTTCTTTTCTTCTCTCATCACACATTCAAGCCCCCAGTGTTCATGTATCATTTCAATCTAAATGCTTCACTTTCTTCTTACACATTACATTTCAGCATAGCAGTTTAGCGTCAGCTTTTCAGCATAAAGCATTCCCACTAGCAATTTCTTCAGGAATTGCATTCTCTAGTTTTTCATACTGTTCTTATTATTTCAGTCAAGAAGTGTGCCACTGTAACCCATCCTGTTACTCATATTATCACAATAAGACAAATGAAATTCAACATTATCTCTATATACAAACTTATATATAAGTTTGTCCTTGCCTTGAAAGTAGCATTGCATTCTGCAGCTAGCGTGAATTTATAATGTGAAGCTAACATACGCATTGATTTCCAACCCTGTTACTATAATTCAATCAATCAAGAGCAATTACAGTAACAGAGTTGCATTTACCCTCGTACAATTTATGATCTTTAGCCAAATTAAATGTTTATATATAATTTTGCATAATCTACATGTTTAGTAATATCCCAGATTATGAATTCCTTTTTTTGTTTATTTAAAATGGATTCCTATAGATTTCAAAGTTCTAGCCCACTATTGAGTGCTGTTGAAAAGCAACAAATACATCTTCTAATGATTCCTAAGCTGACTATAAATGTGTTTCTATGATCTATACAAACATTGTCTCAAGTGGTCCACTTATAGCAATAACACACTTTTACCACTAGATGGAGTTGCAACACCATTAGGAGTATGAAAGTTAGAACTACCAACTACGTCAATTTATTCGACCCTCATCACATTGTTTCAACATATTAGAGAGTTAGATGTGTTGTTTCCTGTCTCATTTTGATGTTTGAAAATACTATAAATAACAACATGTTTGTACAGTTGATGATCCAGATGAGGCACTGGTAATGTGTGCCAACATTCAATGTCTGGAATTCCAGATAACTCCACAAGGTGGAGTAGTTGAATCATCATTTGAGATCAACTAAGTAC